ATGGACCTGTTGGGTTAGACAGCTCTGCATCTGTACAAACGTTTGATGACAAACAGAAAGCCCATCGAAATGTAGTCACTAATGCATCTGGACCAGGGAACAGTGATACTACAGGCATGACCCCAGCTGAACCAGGAAACATCGAGACTCAAGATAAGATGTCAGCTAGACCAGGGAACAGTGGGACTCCAGACACCATGTCAGTTAGACCAGGAAACAGTGGGACTCCAGACAAGATGCCAGTTAGACCAGGGAACAGTGAGACTCCAGACACCATGTCAGTTAGACCAGGACACATCGAGACTCAAGATAAGATGTCAGTTAGACCAGGGAACAGTGGGACTCCACACAAGATGTCAGTTAGACAAGGGAACAGTGAGACTCCAGACACCATGTCAGTTAGACCAGGAAACAGTGGGACTCCAGACAAGATGCCAGTTAGACCAGGGAACAGTGAGACTCCAGACACCATGTCAGTTAGACCAGGACACATCGAGACTCAAGATAAGATGTCAGTTAGACCAGGGAACAGTGGGACTCCACACAAGATGTCAGTTAGACAAGGGAACAGTGAGACTCCAGACACCATGTCAGTTAGACCAGGAAACAGTGGGACTCCAGAAAAGATGCCAGTTAGACCAGGGAACAGTGAGACTCCAGACACCATGTCAGTTAGACCAGGAAACATCGAGACTCAAGATAAGATGTCAGTTAGACCAGGAAACAGTGGGACTCCAGACAAGATGTCAGTTAGACCAGGGAACAGTGGGACTCCAGACAAGATGTCAGTTAGACCAGGGAACAGTGGGACTCCAGACACCATGTCAGTTAGACCAGAAAAAATCGAGACTCAAGATAAGATGTCAGTTAGACCAGGGAACAGTGGGACTCCAGACAAGATGTCAGTTAGGCCAGGGAACAGTGGGACTCCAGACACCATGTCAGTTAGACCTGGAAACATGGGGACTCCAGACAAGATGCCAGTTAGACCAGGGAACAGTGGGACTGCAGACAAGATGTCAGTTAGACCAGGGAACAGTGGGACTCCACACAAGATGTCAGTTAGACCAGGGAACAGTGAGACTCCAGACACCATGTCAGTTAGACCAGGGAACAGTCTGACTCCAGACACCATGTCAGTTAGACAAGGGAACTGTGGGACTCCAGACAAGATGTCACTTAGACCAGGAAACATCGAGACTCAAGATAAGATGTCAGTTAGACCAGGGAACAGTGGGACTCCAGACAAGATGTCAGTTAGACCAGGGAACAGTGGGACTCCAGACACCATGTCAGTTAGACCAGAAAAAATCGAGACTCAAGATAAGATGTCAGTTAGACCAGGGAACAGTGGGACTCCAGACACCATGTCAGTTAGACCAGGGAACATCGAGACTCAAGATAAGATGTCAGTTAGACCAGGAAACAGGGGGACTCCAGACAAGATGCCAGTTAGACCAGGGAACAGTGAGACTCCAGACAAGATGTCAGTTAGACCAGGGAACATCGAGACTCAAGATAAGATGTCAGTTAGACCAGGGAACAGCCAGACTCCAGACACCATGTCAGTTAGACCAGGGAACAGTGGGACTCTAGACACCATGTCAGTTCGACCAGGGAACAGTCTGACTCCAGACACCATGTCAGTTAGACCAGGGAACAGTGGGACTCCAGACACCATGTCAGTTAGACCAGGGAACAGTGGGACTCCAGACAAGATGTCAGTTAGACCAGGGAACAGTGGGACTCCAGACACCATGTCAGTTAGACCAGGAAACATCGAGACTCAAGATAAGATGTCAGTTAGACCAGGGAACAGTGGGACTCCAGACAAGATGTCAGTTAGACCAGGGAACAGTGGGACTCCAGACAAGGTGTCAGTTAGACCAGGGAACAGTCTGACTCCAGACACCATGTCAGTTAGACCAGGGAACTGTGGGACTCCAGACAAGATGTCACTTAGACCAGGAAACATCGAGACTCAAGATAAGATGTCAGTTAGACCAGGGAACAGTGGGACTCCAGACAAGATGTCAGTTAGACTAGGGAACCATGGGACTCCAGACACCATGTCAGTTAGACCAGTGAACAGTCTGACTCCAGACACCATGTCAGTTAGACCAGGGAACAGCCAGACTCCAGACACCATGTCAGTTAGACCAGGGAACAGTCTGACTCCAGACACCATGTCAGTTAGACCAGGGAACAGTGGGACTCAATATAAGATGTCAGTTAGACCAGGGAACAGTGGGACTCCAGGCAAGTTGTCAGTTAGACCAGGGAACAGTAGGGCTCCAGGCAAGATGTCAGTTAGACCAGGGAACAGTGGGACTCCAGACAAGATGTCAGTTAGACCAGGGAACAGTGGGACTCCAGACAATATGTCAGTTAGACCAGGGAACAGTGGGACTACAGACACCATGTCAGTTAGACCAGGAAACATTGAGACTCAAGAAAAAATGTCAGTTAGACCAGGGAACAGTAGGGCTCCAGGCAAGATGTCAGTTAGACCAGGGAACAGTGGGACTCCAGACACCATGTCAGTTAGACCAGGAAACATCGAGACTCAAGATAAGATGTCAGTTAGACCAGGGAACAGCCAGACTCCAGACACCATGTCAGTTAGACCAGGGAACAGTGGGACTCCAGACAAGATGTCAGTTAGACCAGGGAACAGTGGGACTCCAAACAAGATGTCAGTTAGACCAGGGAACAGTGAGGCTCCAGACACCATGTCAGTTAGACCAGGGAACAGTGGGACTCCAGACACCATGTCAGTTAGACCAGGAAACATCGAGACTCAAGATAAGATGTCAGTTAGACCAGGGAACAGTAGGACCCCAGACCATATGTCAGTTAGACCAGGGAACAGTGGGACTACAGACACCATGTCAGTTAGACCAGGGAACATCGAGACTCAAGAAAAAATGTCAGTTAGACCAGGGAACAGCCAGACTCCAGACACCATGTCAGTTAGACCAGGGAACAGTGGGACTCCAGACAAGATGTCAGTTAGACCAGGGAACAGTGGGACTCCAAACAAAATGTCACTTAGACCAGGAAACATCGAGACTCAAGATAAGATGTCAGTTAGACCAGGAAACAGTGGGACTCCAGACACCATGTCAGTTAGACCAGGAAACATCGAGACTCAAGACAAGATGTCAGTTAGACCAGGGAACAGTGGGACTCCAGACAAGATGTCAGTTAGACCAGGGAACAGTGGGACTGCAGACAAGGTGTCAGTTAGACCAGGGAACAGTCTGACTCCAGACACTATGTCAGTTAGACCAGGGAACAGTGGGACTCCAGACACCATGTCAGTTAGACCAGGGAACAGTGAGACTCCAGACAAGGTGTCAGTTAGACCAGGGAACAGTCTGACTCCAGACACCATGTCAGTTAGACCAGGGAACAGCCAGACTCCAGACACCATGTCAGTTAGACCAGGAAACAGTGAGACTCAAGATAAGATGTTAGTTAGACCAGGAAACAGTGGGACTCAAGATAAGATGTCAGTTAGACCAGGAAACAGTGGGACTCCAGACAAGATGTCACTTAGACCAGGAAACATCGAGACACAAGATAAGATGTCAGTTAGACCAGGGAACAGTGGGACTCTAGACACCATGTCAGTTAGACCAGGGAACATCGAGACTCAAAAAAAAATGTCAGTTAGACCAGGGAACAGTAGGGCTCCAGGCAAGATGTCAGTTAGACCAGGGAACAGTGGGACTCCAGACAAGATGTCAGTTAGACCAGGGAACAGTGAGACTCCAGACACCATGTCAGTTAGACCAGGGAACAGTGGGACTCCAGACACCATGTCAGTTAGACCAGGAAACAGTGAGACTCAAGATAAGATGTCAGTTAGACCAGGGAACAGTGGGACTCCAGACAATATGTCAGTTAGACCAGGGAACAGTGGGACTACAGACACCATGTCAGTTAGACCAGGGAACATCGAGACTCAAGAAAAAATGTCAGTTAGACCAGGGAACAGTAGGGCTCCAGGCAAGATGTCAGTTAGACCAGGGAACAGTGGGACTCCAGACACCATGTCAGTTAGACCAGGAAACATCGAGACTCAAGATAAGATGTCAGTTAGACCAGGGAACAGCCAGACTCCAGACACCATGTCAGTTAGACCAGGGAACAGTGGGACTCAAGATAAGATGTCAGTTAGACCAGGGAACAGTGGGACTCCAGGCAAGATGTCAGTTAGACCAGGGAACAGTAGGGCTCCAGGCAAGATGTCAGTTAGACCAGGGAACAGTGGGACTCCAGGCAAGATGTCAGTTAGACCAGGGAACAGTGGGACTCCAGACACCATGTCAGTTAGACCAGGAAACATCGAGACTCAAGATAAGATGTCAGTTAGACCAGGGAACAGCCAGACTCCAGACACCATGTCAGTTAGACCAGGGAACAGTGGGACTCAAGATAAGATGTCAGTTAGACCAGGGAACAGTGGGACTCCAGGCAAGATGTCAGTTAGACCAGGGAACAGTAGGGCTCCAGGCAAGATGTCAGTTAGACCAGGGAACAGTGGGACTCCAGACAAGATGTCAGTTAGACCAGGAAACAGTGAGACTCAAGATAAGATGTTAGTTAGACCAGGAAACAGTGGGACTCAAGATAAGTTGTCAGTTAGACCAGGAAACAGTGGGACTCCAGACAAGATGTCACTTAGACCAGGAAACATCGAGACTCAAGATAAGATGTCAGTTAGACCAGGGAACAGTGGGACTCTAGACACCATGTCAGTTAGACCAGGGAACAGTCTGACTCCAGACACCATGTCAGTTAGACCAGGGAACAGTGGGACTCCAGACACCATGTCAGTTAGACCAGGGAACAGTGGGACTCCAGACACCATGTCAGTTAGACCAGGGAACAGTGGGACTCCAGACACCATGTCAGTTAGACCAGGAAACAGTGAGACTCAAGATAAGATGTCAGTTAGACCAGGGAACAGTGGGACTCCAGACAAGATGTCAGTTAGACCAGGGAACAGTGGGACTCCAGACAAGGTGTCAGTTAGACCAGGGAACAGTCTGACTCCAGACACCATGTCAGTTAGACAAGGGAACTGTGGGACTCCAGACAAGATGTCACTTAGACCAGGAAACATCGAGACTCAAGATAAGATGTCAGTTAGACCAGGGAACAGTGGGACTCCAGACAAGATGTCAGTTAGATTAGGGAACCATGGGACTCCAGACACCATGTCAGTTAGACCAGTGAACAGTCTGACTCCAGACACCATGTCAGTTAGACCAGGGAACAGCCAGACTCCAGACACCATGTCAGTTAGACCAGGGAACAGTCTGACTCCAGACACCATGTCAGTTAGACCAGGGAACAGTGGGACTCAAGATAAGATGTCAGTTAGACCAGGGAACAGTGGGACTCCAGGCAAGATGTCAGTTAGACCAGGGAACAGTAGGGCTCCAGGGAAGATGTCAGTTAGACCAGGGAACAGTGGGACTCCAGACAAGATGTCAGTTAGACCAGGGAACAGTGAGACTCCAGACACCATGTCAGTTAGACCAGGGAACAGTGGGACTCCAGACACCATGTCAGTTAGACCAGGAAACATCGAGACTCAAGATAAGATGTCAGTTAGACCAGGGAACAGTGGGACCCCAGACAATATGTCAGTTAGACCAGGGAACAGTGGGACTACAGACACCATGTCAGTTAGACCAGGGAACATCGAGACTCAAGAAAAAATGTCAGTTAGACCAGGGAACAGTAGGGCTCCAGGCAAGATGTCAGTTAGACCAGGGAACAGTGGGACTCCAGACACCATGTCAGTTAGACCAGGAAACATCGAGACTCAAGATAAGATGTCAGTTAGACCAGGGAACAGCTAGACTCCAGACACCATGTCAGTTAGACCAGGGAACAGTGGGACTCCAGACAAGATGTCAGTTAGACCAGGGAACAGTGGGACTCCAAACAAAATGTCACTTAGACCAGGAAACATCGAGACTCAAGATAAGATGTCAGTTAGACCAGGAAACAGTGGGACTCCAGACACCATGTCAGTTAGACCAGGAAACATCGAGACTCAAGACAAGATGTCAGTTAGACCAGGGAACAGTGGGACTCCAGACAAGATGTCAGTTAGACCAGGGAACAGTGGGACTGCAGACAAGGTGTCAGTTAGACCAGGAACAGTCTGACTCCAGACACTATGTCAGTTAGACCAGGGAACCATGGGACTCCAGACACCATGTCAGTTAGACCAGGGAACAGTGAGACTCCAGACAAGGTGTCAGTTAGACCAGGGAACAGTCTGACTCCAGACACCATGTCAGTTAGACAAGGGAACAGTGGGACTCCAGACACCATGTCAGTTAGACCAGGAAACAGTGAGACTCAAGATAAGATGTTAGTTAGACCAGGAAACAGTGGGACTCAAGATAAGATGTCAGTTAGACCAGGAAACAGTGGGACTCAAGATAAGATGTCAGTTAGACCAGGGAACAGTGGGACTCTAGACACCATGTCAGTTATACCAGGGAACAGTGGGACTCTAGACACCATGTCAGTTAGACCAGGGAACAGTCTGACTCCAGACACCATGTCAGTTAGACCAGGGAACAGTGGGACTCCAGACACCATGTCAGTTAGACCAGGGAACAGTGGGACTCCAAACAAAATGTCACTTAGACCAGGAAACATCGAGACTCAAGATAAGATGTCAGTTAGACCAGGAAACAGTGGGACTCCAGACACCATGTCAGTTAGACCAGGAAACATTGAGACTCAAGATAAGATGTCAGTTAGACCAGGGAACAGTGGGACTCTAGACACCATGTCAGTTAGACCAGGGAACAGTGGGACTCTAGACACCATGTCAGTTAGACCAGGGAACAGTGGGACTCCAGACAAGATGTCAGTTAGACTAGGGAACAGTGGGACTCCAGACACCATGTCAGTTAGACCAGGGAACAGTCTGACTCTAGACACCATGTCAGTTAGACCAGGGAACAGTGGGACTCCAGACACCATGTCAGTTAGACCAGGGAACAGTGGGACTCCAGACAAGATGTCAGTTAGACCAGGGAACAGTGGGACTCCAGACACCATGTCAGTTAGACCAGGAAACATCGAGACTCAAGATAAGATGTCAGTTAGACCAGGGAACAGTGGGACTCCAGACAAGGTGTCAGTTAGACCAGGGAACAGTGGGACTCCAGACACCATGTCAGTTAGACCAGGAAACATCGAGACTCAAGATAAGATGTCAGTTAGACCAGGGAACAGTGGGACTCCAGACAAGATGTCAGTTAGACCAGGGAACAGTCTGACTCCAGACACCATGTCAGTTAGACAAGGGAACTGTGGGACTCCAGACACCATGTCAGTTAGACCAGGGAACAGTGAGACTCCAGACAAGGTGTCAGTTAGACCAGGGAACAGTCTGACTCCAGACACCATGTCAGTTAGACCAGGGAACATTGGGACTCCAGACACCATGTCAGTTAGACCAGGGAACAGTGAGATTCCAGGCAAGATGTCAGTTAGACCAGGGAACAGTGGGGCTCCAGACACCATGTCAGTTAGACCAGGGAACATCGAGACTCAAGATAAGATGTCAGTTATACCAGGGAACAGTGGGACTCCAGACAAGATGTCAGTTAGACCAGGGAACAGTTGGACTCCAGACACCATGTCTGTTAGACCAGGGAACAGTGGGACTCCAGACACCATGTCAGTTAGACCAGGAAACATTGAGACTCAAGACAAGATGTCAGCTGGACCAGGGTACAGCCAGACTCCTTACATGATCCTAGCTGGACCAGGAAACAGCCAGTGTCTACGATCAGTGATGCTCAGAACAACAGGCAGCAAACATGTAGTTCTTTGCAGGCATGCCTCCACACAGTTCTTGGAAATCTTCCAGGCAACTTGCTGTTGCTTTACAACACAGATGGCCAAATGATCACAACCCAACAAGCTCCTGTCGATGACCCTGCTATCTCTCTCAGCACCGAGGACGACCGTCTGGTCAGCTCTTTGAACCAACCAGGTGCCGTCTTCCAGGTTAAAAAGAATGGAACCCTTGCCCGAACCTTCAGACCTATTGTTGCTTCAGGTGCGACGTAATTGGGTCGTAGGGTCAGGCTCTGTTTGGGTCGGTGACTGGGTTGATTGTGTGTCATCCTACTCCGATGTCGTGGGACGTCGGTCATAATATCAACGAGAATAAATAGAGGCGAGAGCAGCAAACAAACTAACCACATGAACAGCGTAAGAAGCAACACACCAGCTCCAGGTTGCAAGTAAATGTTTGCGAGGCGTACATGCCTTATACATGACCACATTTCGAACAATAAACATATTTTACTTTGATTTTTCGTTTACTAAATAAAACAATCTGCTCGACAAACAATGCTTTCTATTTTACGTGAATAGGCATGATTGGCTCCGTCATCTGAGGCGGAAAATCGCTGTGCACAGTTGCATCCCTTACACATGCCAGGATCCTATGATTGTGGGTTCGAGTCCCAGACCTGCATCAGTTGGTAACAGGAGGAAGAAAAACTTAAAACTTAAATCAACAATAGCCTAAAATAAATATTAATAATTGATATTGCCATCTTCCAAAGAAAAAACATTCAAACGCTTCAGTAACGCATATTTCGTTTTATTATTTAGCAGTTCACCTTTTAGTATTTTTGTCCTTATTTGGGGTTGTCATTCAGTGATGTGTTCTTTTAATTGTCTCAGTTAAGTTATTTTACCGTTTACACCCAAAGGATCTGTTTCGGCGGATAACCGAGACTGAATATTCTGTGACGGTGACGTTTTATATTAAAAATCTACACTCCGCATCGTGTTTCGACCTGTTCAAGTGGCTGTTCAAGGAAAGTGTGTCTTTCCTAGAATTATTGAATTCGCGGGCATATAAGAATTTAAGGAGGATTTGCATTCATGTTATTGTTGTTCTGCACAACACTACCATCGTAGTTGTCACACACGTAGCTTCTACACTGTCATTTGGAAACAAAAGAAACAGATTCATCCGCAGACGAGCGTTATATCGAGGTAAGAACGTGGCGCACATCGGGTCACAATGACATAACGTTGTTATAGTGCGCTACTGTAGGTATGGTTGGTCGATGTGCAGCTGCTATCAGTACACAGGTTAGGTGGGATGTATGACGTTTACACAATGTTGGTGGGCGAGTTTTAAAAACCTGTATCCGTCGCTAATTTATAGAAATTTTCATCGTTGCACAGAGAAAAAGTGAGATCAGCTGGTAAAAGACCAATATCATTAAAATCAGATCTTACTTCTCGCTACCACTAAACCTAGGAAATCGCTGAACGGCAGATCTAAATTAAACCCGCCATTTTGAACGGATTACAAACAGAGATGGGAAAATGTGCATGCCATACATGTTGGATAAATGAGCACAATTAGACCCACAGGTATGTAATGTTTACTATTTCTTACACAAGACTTTAAATATATACTTTACTGTATGCTGTAACGATATCTATCAAGTCTGTGTAATTTAAAGGTCAGAATGATATTGCTCATTATAATACATATGTTCTAAATAAAAGCGATCTTCATTGAAAAACTGAAAGACATGTTTAGTAAGAAAACTCAATTCGTCCCCAGGAGGTAGCTAGGGGGACTGAAAGAAGTATACCCTTGAAAGGTATTGAACGAATTACATCATTTGTCACGAATAATTTACAAATGACGTTATCTTCTCATTTTAGAGTGATATGGAACAATTAAAGCCGGGTTTCAAATGCTACTAGAGTCATCTTCGCCTTAACCATTGTATAGAGACCCACAGTAGTGAAGCTCAGTGACAGTGGATTTACTCAAATGACCCCAACACACTAATGTGTTTGATAATATTCCATATTGATATATTGATATATAATCGACCCGACATCGGGTATGATATCACCTTAAGTACCCCTCTCTTTAAACTTTGTTTTTTTTATGTACCAGATTTCTTCATCAAATCGTTTCGGGTGGGAAGTTAAATTTTTTTTTAAATCGCAGTCGGTTGAAAGAAATGATACAGTGTTTTTGTATATGATGACAAACAAAGTCTTAGAAACTGACAAAAACCTGTCAGCAGTGGTAGAGAGCGTTATTGTTGCAGGCAGGGTATGTCATGAAATAAATTAATCAATATGATGTTTATCGATGTGATTAGTGTCGCATATATCAGGTATGGTAATTGATCTGTGAAGCACATGTTTACTCGATTACTTTTCATCGTCGAAATTTGTCCGCTAAATGTTGCTTCAAATTTCATTTTCAAGAGTCCGCGGTCTTTTGTCGTTTGTAAACATTCTGTTTGAAACAACAGAGGATGGTGGTACTTTTGTTCCAGACACATTTGATTGTTATCCATAATATATGTCCACAGCACAATTTTGGACTTATCTTTTTGTTAGCTCACCAGGACAGTCCATTCATCCATTAACTTTCAATTTCTTCTCCGAACTGGCTGAAGGGACGACCTTTCAATTTTTGGAAGACTCTTGTGCTCATATTTCACCACGGCGTTGAAGTATTTCTTTTGAAGAAAAATGAACACAAAATAAAAGTATAAAAACATATAAAGACTCTTCACCTCAGATCTCACACGGTCTTGAGATCTGTAACATGGACATGAGTGAGTGAGTGAGTATGGATTTAGACCGCTTTTAGCAATATTCCTGCAATATCATGGCGGGGAAAACCAGACATGGGCTTCACACATTGTGCCCATGTAGGTAAACACTGTCGTGGGAAACAACTTTGTCGTGATGAGCAAATGCTTCAACCACCAGGCTACCGCAACCGATCTTACATGGATATCAGGGGCAACAACACACATGTTTTCAGATTCATTCGTGACACTACAGCAAAAAAGAAGCCACAGGGCAAGGATGATGTCACTCTTTTCAGACTGAAACAGATTTCATTAATCGTGGATCATAATAAAGTATCATCTTCTCAGAAACTAAAATGGTGAGAGATATTATTTTGTTGAAAATGTAGCACTAATCTGGGCTAATGTTGATGATGCTGCTAACTAAGAAAATCTTTCAGCTCAGAGATTGCTATTACAAATGAGATGATTCTTTACGAGAATGCTACCATATTAATGTTCTTTACAGTTAAAAGGTGAGGTGAAATGGGCTTTAACACTTTAAAGCTAAAAGGATTCATTTTACTTAAAAAGAAGAAATCACACAGCCATTTAACACCCACACTTCCCTAACTTCGCATAAGATTGCCTTACCTAGAACATCCATACTTTGAGAGCTACAGAGTCTTGGTGCTGTTTTCTGTTTAAAAAAAGACGATATTTCAGAGTCAAACAAGTATCCGATCTTGGCAATGTAAGTACACCCGCGCTCCATTTTGAGGCAAGTGAGGTAATAAATGTATTGAACAACAGTCAGCAATAGTCCAGCCTTTTCATGGCTTCCTGTAAAGAAATGAATGGGCACGTTTCAGGCAAACCCGTGGTTGAAAGGACGCCAATGACAATCAAGTCTCAGTTTTAACCACCATTCATTAGATTATCCCACAAGCAGGAGGTACAAGGGGCCTACTCTGCCCCGGAATACCCATTGATTCGAAATGTACAAGACCTTTCAGTGCTGACAAACAATGTAACAGTTCAAATTCTCCTCTTTTTTAGGGCATAATTGAAGGTGGCCACAATGGCGATGCTTGCCTCAACAGACAAAGTGTCCAATGTGTTTTACTGTACCAACTGCAAGGAGAAGACACCAGAACCCGTTCCTCTAGCCTTTTACCACACAGTTTGCCGAAAGTGTCTTGAAGTCCATCAAACATTCAGCGTGGATAAACACATCTACTGTCCTGTGTGTGAAAAAAACACACAATGCTCTGACGAAATGGACAGTCTGCGATCACTGTTAAATACATGTATTGGTAGTGCCTCTCGTACGTTAGAAGACCCGTTACTTAAACCCGAGCCTGAATATTGCAGCGTTTGCTGCCTACACAACCAGCGCAATGACGTGACCCACCAGTGTGTTGACTGTGGCGATGTTCTGTGTGGTGTGTGTCAGGCAGGGCACCAAGCATCAAGCGCCACATACTCACACAAGGTCGTGGCCATTAGAGATGTGAAAACTGGGAAACATGTTGTCGAGGCAAAGAAAAGAAGCTTTCCTTGTGGTGATGCCAATCATAGGGGATGGGCTTATGCATACTTCTGTCAGTCCTGTGTCATTCCAATTTGTGAGTTGTGTTTTTTATTTCAACATAAAGGTCATGAGATTCTTACCTTGGATGAGGCTGCGCAGAACTGTGCAACGAAATTGGAAGAGCGATCACAAAAGCTTAGCACATATATGACTGAATCTGCAATTCCTAAGTTGGAAAGGTTCAGGAACCTGGAGCGTGATATTTCTTCAATACAAGACGCTGCGCTAAGAAGTATCAGGAACAAGACACAGACAGCTGTGGATATAATTCTAAAACAGAAGCAAGAAGCTGTAAAAAAGCTTTCAAAATTATGTGACAAGCAGCTTAAACTCACAAGTACGGTAAACACTTATTTAGAGCAGATGTCAAATCTGTGCCCAAAACTGTTGTCTCTTACAAACTTAGTTTAAGATCGGGGCAGAATGTGGCAGTTCTCATTCTTCACAATGACCTTGAGAAATGTTTCACAGAAAGTAAGCAATTACAAGATGCCATTGATGTCTTTGCTCCTAAACTGAAAATGCCTGTGTTTGATGGTAGATGTGATGTCCCTCTGAAATCTGGATTTATCACTGATGTTTTGTGTAGGAATGAGAACCTTGTCGCCGAGGGTTCTGCAGAAGATGGTACAGCATCAGGCTGTATGACAGACGATAGCGAAACCTTTCAGCAGGAAGACTACAGTGGGTACAAGTTGACCGAGTCTTTGATGATAGTAGGTGAGGCTGGGAAAGCCCTTTCATCAAGGTGTTGTTCTTCTGGACATCCATCTGAGGGTCCACTCAATAGCATGATCTTGAAGCTTGAGGATTCAACAAATGTGGAAATCTTTGTACAGAATGCCATCAGGCAAGAAGTTACCCCGGATTCCCTGATGACCGAACCTATGGATAGAGATACCTCCGATTCACCGATGACGTCAGAATGCAGGTATGGACATACCTCCGATTCACTGATGACCTCCGAATGCAGGAATGGAAATATCTCAGATGCAACGATGACCTCCGACTGTATGAAAAGGGATTCTTCAGAATCAATGAAGACATTTAGACCTATGACAGGAGATAGGTTTGGACCTTCGGGGTTAGACAGCTCTGGTGCATCTGCACAATCTTTTGATAAAAAACAGAAGGTCCCCGGAAGTGTAGTTACCTCAAAAGTGATACCAGAAGCAAACCAACACCTCCGTTCTGCTGTATCTGTTGAAGACGGAAGTAATTCTATCAGATCAGTTACCTTAAAGAAAATGAATATTTGTAAATTAAAAGTTACCAAAGACACCCGAGATCCAGAAATAAAGTCATTGGGAATCTTAAATGACAAACTTGTTATTGCAGACAATGCCAATAAGAAAATAAGGGCGATGACTACATGTGGAACTTTAACTGATATGAACCACAAAAATACACCACTTACTGATGATTTGCCCGCTCACACAATTGCCTGTTTGGATGACTGTGTTGTGTACATTTGTGGATCAACGATCTATATCACTGATAGGATTCTTAAGTGTCTACGATCAGTGATGCTCAGAACAACAGGCAGCAAACATGTAGTTCTTTGCAGGCATGCCTCCACACAGTTCTTGGTTGGAAATCTCCCAGGCAACTTGCTGTTGCTTTACAACACAGATGGCCAAATGATCACAACCCAACAAGCTCCTGTCGATGGCCCTATAGCTGCTATATCTCTCAGTAACGAGGACGACTTTCTGATCAGCTCCTTGAACCAACCAGGTGCCGTCTTCCAGGTTAAAAAGAATGGAACCCTTGCCCGAACCTTCAGACCTCCAAATGCCACAGAGTGGTATCCAGAGGGCACATGCATGGATAAGAGGAATAACCTGTATGTTGCTGATCCCAGACAGAATCAGATCCACGTGTTTAACGCTGGGGGTGAACAGCTGTGCATTCATTCAACATTGAGTGATGATCTGGTGTCACCTCGGTGTTTGGCCATATCATCAAACAGACTGTTTGTGTCAGGAAATCAACCGCATCTGTTTGTTTTTGATATATTTAACCATGCAGGTAGAACGTGAACATGAGGCTATGAACGGTTGCAATACAGGACAGAATGGTAAAATAGATACAGCCCTGAAATATGTTACCCAAAACGCTCACCTCATAATATTGACAAATCATGACCCAACATTAATTATATAGGGGAACAAATATTATTTGTGATTTGGAAAATATAGACAAATAAATGTACAACTACAAGGATGTTGACACACAATGCCTGACCCATATGACCCCTGACATTGAAGAATGCTTGATTCTGATGGGTTAAAAAGAGTTTTCCTTTTTGCTACAGATACCTGCTAAATATATATTAGGCTTTTCACACAGTTTATGTGCGTATGAAAACATCGATAATCTACATATCGTGATAGGGATGCCGATCACCGATAAGAACTAACCAGTATCGACTTTTCCTCTACTATATGCTGGATCTCAAATACAAGCCTGGACCCGGTTGTATCAAAGCCTCATTAACTAATGGCTACATTACACCCTAATGATACATTAAATGCTTATTGCACCATTAGTTAATGGCATCATTAAAATCGGTTGTATCAAACGTTTATTAGCATATCATTATCTAATGATGCCTTAATGTAAGTGTCTTCATTAACCTGTCATTAAATTCGGTGTTTCCCCTAAATATTTCCCACAATTCCTTGCCATGTTTGTTTTTAATGACACGCTAATGATGCCCCAGAACCTTCATTAAGTTAATGACGCGCTAATGACACCACGACGTCGTTAAAACGTTAGTACAACTGGATTTAATGATACATTAGTGAATGAAGGTTTAATGACACGTTAATGCGTCATTAAAGTTTGATACAACCGGGTCCTGGTCCCTAATTCACGCTGGGTCAACGGCTCTCCTGAAATTAATACACGGCCTAGCGTGTAAAAGAAGAAATACAGTAGCTTGGGATCGGATGTTTTTGGCGATGACGTTCCATCCCCGACTGCTTCGATTGTGAGATTACAAGACGAGGGCACATCTTTTGCATACACATGATAATGTTTATGAAACTATGTTCGATGGCGAACAGGCAATTTCCTCATTGAAACAACCGACAATGAAAGTAAAATATAACATTATAAAAAAAGTGTTTAAAAAAACTTTATTCATGACACCATGCTGTTCACAAAGCTCTTTTGTGATAAGTATTCATTGCCATCTCAGTCAACCACCACCGTCAGGACTCGTGAGTTGGGGATTTGAAAGTCCGTCAGAAAACACTACTCCCTTTGAAAGGCCACGAAAACCATCACTGAAGTTACAGCACAGGCACTTGATCATACAAACTTATCTAACTTGATGAAATCATTTCAGAACACGCACAATTAAGCAAATCATACACGAACCACTGTTTATGGGCCACGATAGTCACATTATTCCACACGCTGGCGTTGAATGCTGTGAAATCTTGAAATTGACGGGTGGGAAAATAGCCGTCTCGTCTGCAGCCTGAAAAAGGGCTGTTCAGTCCAGTTCCATTGGACATCACGTTGTCCCATCAGGCTCATTCCCAGCAAATCTACAGTAAGTCTACAGTAAATCTACCGTAAATCTACAGTAAATCAGAAATTTGATGTACCACTGTTGAGTAGATAAAGCACTCGGTTTCAAATTAAAATAAGACGTATCTGTACAGCAGGACTACATCAAATTTCCAAACAGTAGATGGATCTTCTTAATGTCCTTCATGGAAGCCGGTTTGGAATAGACCCATAGAACTCTATTGCTTGCTCAAGAAGCGACTAAATTGGATCGTGTGGTCAGTGTCCGTCCGGGTCGGTGACTGGGTTGATTGTGTGACATCCTACTCTGTTGGCGTTGGGCGTCATAATATCAACCACTGGTTTGTCTCGCTCAGATCCGCTTATTTACAGATTGTCGTGATATTGTTGAATATTGCTGACTGAGGCGAGAACAACAAACAAACAAAGCACATGAACAACTTGAGAAGGAACACACTAGCTTCAGGTTTTAAAGAAATATATGTGAGGCGTCCATTCCCTGTAAATGACCACATTAAGAACATTAAGCATATTTTACTTGTATTTGTCGGTAAAATAAAACGATGTAAAATCATATGTGCTTTGTATTATTTACAATCTGCTCAACAAACAATTAAACGTCACTGCCAGAGAATCAGTCTCGATTATCCATTGAAACAGATTCATTTGGACGTGTTCGAATCCCAGTTCGCCTCGATGATGTTTCTAGGTTTGTCAGCACCATAACCGTGCTCGTGGGTCTCACAGAAGTGGTAAACGTCTGAGACCTGCATCACATCGGGCTTTCCTCCCATATTAAGCTAACACGCCGCGATATAACTGTAATACTGTTAAAAGCGGCGTTAAACCCAACTCACTCACTCACTCACTCACTCACCATTGGACGTAAAGGGAAAAATGGCAGTGGAAATTATGTGAAAGGATCACTGAAAATCAGTGATGACAAACAATGACTTTCAATATAAGCAGGAAGCAAGGTTGATCCACTCATCTGAGGCGCCGCAAATCGCTGTGCACAGTTGCGTCCCTTACTCATGCCAGGATCCTATGATTGTGGGTTCCAGACCTGCATCAGTTGGTAACAGGTTGGAGAAGAAAGGTTAAGAAAAAAACCTTGTAACAATGTAATTTTTGTAGCAAGCATTTTAATTTTTTCAACAGTCCGAAGCATAAATCTGTGAAAGGCATTTAGAAGTGATACACATAAGGAAGAGAATTTATGGATGTAAACTTCTTTATTATTAGGAACACAACGTTTCGGAGTACCAACAAGACTTCCCACATGATGTTATGGTCTTGGTTCTTGAGGATGTGTTCGGAAATAGCGGATTTGAGGTCTAGTTTGTTGATAGAGGTCTGATGCTCCTTGAGTCTGGTGTTGAGGGGTCTGAGGGTTTCTTCAATGCGGTGGCGACAGCAGCAGTAGCAGGGTATCTGGTATATAGACATCCTGTTGGGTTTCTTCAATACGTTGGCCACAGCAGCAGTAGCAGGGTATCTGGTATATAGACATCCTGTTGATTTTCTTCAATGCGGTGGCGACAGCAGCAGTAGCAGGGTATCTGGTATATAGACATCCTGTTGGGTTTCTTCAATGCGTTGGCCACAGCAGCAGTAGCAGGGTATCTGGTATATAGACATCCTGTTGGGTTTCTTCAATGCGGTGGCCACAGCAGCAGTAGCAGGGTATCTGGTATATAGACATCCTGTTGGGTTTCTTCAATGCGTTGGCCACAGCAGCAGTAGCAGGGTATCTGGTATATAGACATCCTGTTGGGTTTCTTCAATACGTTGGCCACAGCAGCAGTAGCAGGGTATCTGGTATATATACATCCTGTTGGGTTGGGACTTGCGCTGCTTGAGCCCCTAGGGGACATTTTTTTCAAATTATTCTGGTACAGATTGTTGTCTTACAAAAATAGAAAAAATGAATAATTATTTCTTTTGACAGAGGCTGTTCACAATTCGGATAGGAAGACTACTGTGGCAAACCTAAGCGACTGAAAAATGATATTCAAAACGACGAAAATATGCATGTTGTCAATGTATATGTCGGTCAACAAGATATCAGCCGACAAGATGACAAGTAATGTTATATAGTCTATCATATTATTTACTTCTAGGGATAATTTCGTAAGGGAAAACGTGAATATGAATAATACGTAAGTACACTATTCAGGTTAAACCGGGTTTAACTGCTGCCTGCATGTGAATATGATACACATCCAAAATGCTGACTGCTTGTGAATATGATACAAATCCATGTCACATGCATATGGGCTTCTTTCGACACACCCTATATCTAATATCAGTACAATATCAGTGATAAATTGCCCTGCTATCAAGCGTTGTTAGGATGTGTAAACATGGTGTACTGTGACATGAATGTTAGACCGACTTTTAGCTCACCTGAACTGACGCTTTAAGTGACTATGTCGTGACGTTTGTATCCATCGTCTATCTGTCCATATCTAAGATACGGAAACACAGAAGAGTAATGTCTTTATAATAATGTCTTTATAATAATGTTCTTCGTAAAAAGAATCTAGCTAAGACATATGTTCATTAACTAAAGTAATTTAGACACCACCTGATTAAACCCCTGCATCTTTATCTATCTATCTATCTATCTATCTATTTGTCTATCTATCCAAACAATATACACACATTTGTGCTCGTGTCTATAGTGTCAAAATCAAGGTCATACAACAATATCTTCTTAACAAAGTTATAAAATCTTTTTAATCCAGCAGTGAATGTGTCTCATGTATGACGAGAATGTGCTGAGAATGTGTCTCAGGTAGGATGAGAATGTGCTGAGAATTTGTCTCAGGTAGGATGAGAATGTGTCTCAGGTAGGATGAGAATTCGCTGAGAATGTGTCTCAGGTAGGATGAGAATGTGCTGAGAATGAGTCTCAGGTAGGATGAGAATGTGCTGAGAATGTGTCTCAGGTAGGATGAGAATGTGCTGAGAATGTGTCTCAGGTAGGATGAGAATGTACTGAGAATGTTTCTCAGGTAGGATGAGAATGTGCTGAGAATGTGTCTCAGGTAGGATGAGAATGTGCTGAGAATGTGTCTCAGGTAGGATGAGAATGTGCTGAGAATTTGTCTCAGGTAGGATGAGAATGTGTCTCAGGTAGGATGAGAATGTGCTGAGAATGTGTCTCAGGTAGGATGAGAATGTGTCTCAGGTAGGATGAGAATGTGCTGAGAATGTGTCTCAGGTAGGATGAGAATGTGCTGAGAATGTTTCTCAGGTAGGATGAGAATGTGTCTCAGGTAGGATGAGAATGTGCTGAGAATGTGTCTCAGGTAGGATGAGAATGTGCTGAGAATGTGTCTCAGGTAGGATGAGAATTCGCTGAGAATGTGTCTCAGGTAGGATGAGAATGTGCTGAGAATGTGTCTCAGGTAAGATGAGAATGTGCCCCAGGTAAGGTGAGAATGTGTCCCAGGTAGGATGAGCATGTGTCTCAGGTAAGATGAGAATGTGCTGAGAATGAGTCTCAGGTAGGATGAGAATGTGCTGAGAATGTGTCTCAGGTAGGATGAGAATGTGCTGAGAATGTGTCTCAGGTAGGATGAGAATTCGCTGAGAATGTGTCTCAGGTAAGATGAGAATGTGCTGAGAATGTGTCTCAGGTAGGATGAGAATGTGCTGAGAATGTGTCTCAGGCAAGATGAGAATGAGAACCTATGATTGTGGGTTCGAATCCCTGTTAGCTCCGATGATGTTTCTAGGTTTGTCAGCACCATACCCGTGCTCGTGGGTTTCACCGAAATGGTAAACGTCAGAGACCTGCATCACCTCGAGCTTTCCTCCCACATTAAGATGCCACGCCGCGATATAACTGGAGTACTGTTAAAAGCGGTGTTAAACCCAAACTCACTCACTCACTAGTTTATGCGGTTACTTGTTGAGAGGCTGTTACGACGTAAATTGTAATAAAAAGGTAAATTGTAATACTTGCAGCAAATTGTAATCATTTTGACGTAAATTGTAATAACAACGTAAATTGTAATCAAATTTGACGTAAAATGTAATACGCAAATTGTAATAAAAATTGACGTAAATTGTAATAATCTCTACTTGCGGTAAAATGTAATAAATTCTTGCGTAAATTGTAATAACCTTACTACCGCACTGTCCAAGACGCCAACTGACTAGAAATGATCTTTGTCAGTTGAGCTATAGGCTTTATCGTACAATCGTCATTAAAGGGTGGTATCAACATCGATAAATTTAAATGACTGAAAGATCCATCCTCGGGTTCAAAATGATGGGTTACACAACCGTATATTCGACAAATAACTTAATTGTGACATATTGTTCATTTCTCTTATAAGGCTATTCAAGATTTTTTTTGCATGGCTTGCTTCAACAGTACGTTGACCAGTTCGACACGACTGAAGGAGTGATGACGAAGGGTACAAACACAGGCTGGTCAACCAGTGTGTCGATTTGCAGTGGAAACGCTATACGAGTTGATAAGGAGTACATGATTATTTTCTTGAAACAAACGAGGGAATTTAATCATATTTATACAATTCATTTTATTTTGACGAAGAATTCAAATACAACAAATGAGTTGACAGATCCCGTGCATACACAAATAACATCCGGTATCTTCGGATAACTCTTGTACAGTTTCAAAGAGTATACGAATAATCATAAATTTCTTGCAATCAATTGCTGAAATATATCTGCTTGTATCCAAATAGAAAGGAATTGAAAATTTATAATGAATATATGTTTGTCACTAAAGTAAATTTTCTCTTCGACCTTGAAACGTACTTGAAGATAATTAAACTCGACAGTCGTTGGTGGATGAAAACACTAGATACTATCATCCACTTACATACTTCCATCTACGTACATGATACTGTCATCTAGAGTATGTAGAAGTGCAGTCATATATGTGATACCAATGACATGGAGCTCACATTTACTGTCATTACATACACACCTGCATGCGCGCGCACACACACACACACACACACACATACATACGTACATACATACATACATACATACATACATACATACATACATACATACATACATACATACATATAGTGTTTGTGTGGGGGTGTTTTTGTATGTGTATGTAGTGTGTGCAACACGTGTTTGTGCCTGTATCTGTGTGTGAGCGTGTGTATGTGTGAATGTGTGTGTGTGTATGTGCGTGTGTGTATGTGTGTGTTTGAATGGGTATGTAGTGTGCTACACGTGTTTGTGTCTGTATCTCTGTGTATGTGTGTGCGTGTGTATGTGTGAATGTATATGTGCGTGTGTGTGTATGTGTGTGTGTGCGTGCGTGCGTGCGTATGTGTGTGTGTGTGTGTGTATGTTTGTGTTTGTGTGTCTATGATGATGAGGCCCAAGTATCGCAGCAACAGTATGATTTGGTTTCTTAGATAGTTACTAGTCTTTTCATCAGAATTTTAACAAAGTATGTTGTAATTTCAATACAGTGCTTGATGTTAGTTGGAATTATTTTAATCCTAGCTCTTAAACCCCCAGAGAAGATTATCCTCTGAGGTAATTTTTGTCCGTATATATGTTACAAATTAGTGATAACTTATGAAAAACGTAATTATCTGTTTCGAAAGTTATGTACCGCATTATACGTGAGGTACCAAATTTGGTATCAAGGTTGCTTGGCGCAATCCACAAACGATTGCCGAGTTTAATGATCTTAGAATACTCTTCGTATAAGGTCAAAGAGAATATTTACGCAAGTGACAAAACCCTTTTCATTGTAGATTTTCCATACTTTCAATTTTGATCAAAACAGATATATTTCATCAATAATTGATTGCAACAAATTTATTATACATTATGATGCTCTTTGAAACTCAACAAGACATGCCCGAAGATACCGGATATTATTTGTGTATGCTTTGAATTATGATTTCGTGCCGTTATCATGATGGATTCTATTTTTGTTGTTGGGGCAAGGAGTTATTATCCCAGCAAAAGTTGTCAGTAAGTTGTTGTTAGTTCTTCATGACATATGAAACGAATCCAGACAGTTACATTTATTCATTTATTTCTTTAAATATACTTCTTCCTATGAAAGGAAATATTTCATGTTATATTAATGATCCATATGTAAATCATACATTGCTACAAATATTGCATATTAAGTTAACATGGTTTGCATTTATTTATTATCATTTCCTTATCTGTGAGAAGTTCACAGAGATCGAGAATACACAATATCTAATAGTATATGCAATGAGGGTAAAGAATATCCACGCCCCTCTTTTGATATTAATAAAAACATTGTATATAACGTTATTTATTAAGTATTCTCCTTTCCCATGCATGGGAAATCTATGCTGCATTTGCTGACGACTGCTTTTTTTCCTTTGACATTGCACAGGAGATCTGTCACTCATTTGTTGTATTTGAATTCTTCGTCAAAATATAATGTGTAAATACGATTGAATTGTCTCGTTTGTTTCAAGGAAACGGTCATGTGCTCCTTATCAAATTAAGTAAACCTCCAATGCAAATCGACATAATTTCAGGGTCCGGTTGCACAGAGCTCTCTTCGTTAACTCGTAACTCAATGTTATTGCAATGCACTCCTAGCTAAGCTACTATTGGATGATAAATCAATTAACCTATTTGTCGAATAGACGTACCTAATGTAATCCATCATTTTTAACCCGAGGATGGATTTTTCAGTCATAAATTTCGATGTGTACAGTTGCTAGAGTATCATTCTAACAATACAGACATGACACAAGCTGCACGTAAAATAATCGATAAACTAAAGGTAGTCCTTGCGGGTTCACATACCTACATGTACATCGCCCAGGACATTGTCATTATTTGCTCTACATCCTCCGAGCAACGTTAACAAAATTGAAACTTGAATAATAATAAATTGATATTATGTACATGAACATGTATAAATCAGCTTGCACACAGACTACTGCAGAATGACACGTCATCCATTTGCTAGTTTAGTTTAGCTTAAACATATTTTATTCACAGAACAAAATGAGAATTGTATTGGGGACAAGTTTTTGCAACTTAGTAAACCCCTCTCCGCATCAAATATGTACAAATATACAGTTGCAAAATAAAAAAATTTGCTTCAGTCAGTAAAATTCAGACTTTCCACATTTACACATCAATATGTTTGTGTAAGTTTGTTACGTTATAATTATTCCATTGTGTATATTACTACCTACTTTACCAATTGAAATATGATTCCATTAGGTGAAATGTGAACAATTATGATGAAAATCGTCAATAGGATATATTACAATTAAGTACAAAACACAGAGTATTTCTAAAATAAATAAGAAAACTAAGTTCATTCTAGTAATTAATCCTCTTCTAGACAACCATAGAAATGAAATTCCAATGCGTTTATATATACATATAATTATACAACAATGTACGATAACGACCTCAATCCTCCCCCACACCCATACTTTAATGACAATTGTACGATAAACCCTGTACCAACCCTGACAAGGATAGGTTCTAGTCATTTAACGCCTTTGACACTAAACTTATAAGGTTATTACAATTTACGTGAAAAGTTATTACATTTTACCGCAAGTTGAGATTATTACAATTTACGTCAATTTTTATTACAAATTGCGTATTACAATTTACGTCAAATTTGATTACAATTTACGTTGTTATTACAATTTACGTCAAAATTATTACAATTTACCTTTTTATTACAATTTACGTCGTAACAGAGGCGTTTTCATAATTTTTTCACCAGTTTGATTCAAAAGTTGGTGAGATCAATTAAAAAGTTTTACTTTGGTTGAGAATTTGTTTTCGCTTCAGATATATCTTTCGGTTTGTCGGCTTCTGACCAGGGTTGTTTTTCAAAGACGTACGGTAATTTCTATTTTGAATGTTGTAATGTCTAGCCGCAGTTATCTCGTGAACGTTTGATCTCTTGTATGTCTACAGCTGATTGGGATTACAGCGCTGTGCAGCACTTGACACGAGTAGAACCAGATATTTTAAAACGAAAACATACATCAGTGTGTTTGTGTCGCATGGATGTTACGAATTGAATGTTGTCTCGCTCGGGAAACAAGAACATGCTGACACTCGCTTTATGAAACCATGTATATAATCATCTATACTATTGTAGGCTCAGGTATAATGACCTATGATCAGGTATAATCACCATTACTCAGGTATAATGACCTACACTCGTGTATAATGACCTATACGTGTGTATAATCACCTGTACTCATGTATACTGAGGTATAATCACCTATAATAATGCATATACTCATGTATTATCACCTATACTCGCGTATAAACACCTATACTCATGTATATTGACCTATACCCATGTATGCTCAGGCATGATCACCTATAATAATATATAGGCATGACATATACTCATGTATAATCATATAAGCCCACGTGTTCAATCAGCGACAATAGTAACAATGAGCCACAAGGAAAGTCTAGAGAAACGGAAGTCAAAGAATGTTTAAACATCAGCTCTTTGTATTTAGAAAATGTCAGGAAACTCGTGAATCTGTGTCAAAGACATAAATCAACCTATTGTCCATATTAAGGCTACAAAACAGAAAGTTTGAGAACACATGCTGTGATAAGCGTTATATCGTGGAAGCGCGAAACATCCGTGTAATAGCCACGGCCAGTGTTTGACTGCATGTTGTTTAACGACATGCTCATCAAGATTCCAGCCAAGTGAACAATTGAATCTGACCAGACAAACCATTTTGTTTCCCTGTTGTGTTATATTTTCACATATTTTGAAAATTATTTTTCAATTCAACATAAATAATAGCATTCAAGGAATGCAAAAATATGGCAATTCAATCTTGCACCTTTTAAAGGATACAGTAGTTTTACTGTAATTCATACACCGCTATCACTCCATCTTTACACGAAACATACACATTTCCACCATCCCCTAACAGCAAACAGTTGGGTTGCGACAAATGGTTCTGTAACGTGTCAACAACGCACAAAGCTTTTCCCCGAGGAGAGAAAATCAAGATGTCATTCCTGTGCATATCAGACACAATCGTTTGACCCTTTATGCCGAAGATTGCGTGTGATGGTCGCCACTTCATGCCATTCCGTTTTCGTCCATTGATTTTAAGCAGACAACCATCTGCCTCAGACTCCAGACATACGGCACCTTTTCCTTCCCATGTGCAGGAGATGACCGCATCGTCTGCCACGTGTCTCAGTGACGCCATCACGCCGGTGACCTGACTGGACCACTTTCTGATCACCTTCCCTGATGTAGTCATCACTCTCATCTCCCTGTGTGGCAGATTACCGATAAGAATGTGCTCACCAAAGTTAGCCACAATAGGTTCACAAACCATGTCCTGTTTTTGCATCAGCAGCTGTTCAGACACAATCTTTAAATGACGTGTTAAGATCAACAGGTTGTTTTCATAAATAGCAAAAATCATGTCGCCATCGCCAAAATGCACAAACTGTTTAAACAACTGACATTTTCCTTTTTGTAAAACTGAATATACAAACTGACCATTGGTTTGAAAGACTTTTAATTTTGTATTGGGTTCGTCTAGAACTTGGAGGGTTCCATTAGGACGTAGAGCCATGCAGGACAACATTGTCTGCGAACGGTCTGTTCCTATGTGAACACTGAACTGACGTTTGTATAGCATGTACTGTGTCTCTTGATCAACCTCCTCAACTCCATCGTTCTTCTCACTTCCTTCCTCACTGGTTGTGTCCACCACCAGCTCCTGTTCCAGGACTGAAGGAAGGACAGGACTGCTTTCATGGACATGTCCTTTGTGACCTGTCACTGCGGGTTTACTGGTCTGTGGATGTTCGACATCTGTTTGTTGACGGTGTTCTGATGGTTCACTAACAGCCCTGCGTGAAGGAGTCCTTGTCTCAACCTTGCCAGAACCCGCTCCGGGTAAATTGGATGTCAAGCGCTTGAAGTCAGAGTTTGGTAGGTCATCACTTTCTTTGGCTGATCCAAGAGTGCGAGAAACGTTAACATTAGGCATTGGGCTGGATAAAGGCAAGTGGTCGCCTGTCACGGATATTTCAGCCAATGTCAAGAATTCAGTATCAAGTGGTAAGGAGATGTCCATATTGAACTTTGTCAGAGGTTCTCTGGCAGACACATTATCAACTGCCTTTGTGAACTGTTTAAACTTCGTAACCCCTTTCAACCCTTCTTCGAGGGTTTTGCACATCAAAAGGAGAGTCAGATCATCACCGTCTTCCACCTGTCGACACACTCTGGCAATCTCCTCCCTCCTTTCAGACTCCGAATTCATCAACTCCAGCATCCTTTGTCTCTTCATCCTCCCGTCCTCAAAACTTCTCCTGCCCTTCTCCAACACCTCAGAACTCTTCCCCCCGATCTTCTCCATCACTGCCTCAACTGATGAAGTCAGGTCACTTACAAATATCTCTTCCTCTTTGTTCAACTGATCTATCTCTGCTTGTAGTGTGTTGGCAGAGGTCTGGATATTGGAAGACGTGGCTACCACCATTGTCAGTGCCTGCTTCATGGACTGACGTCTCTTTTCGACAGTCTCACCCACAGTCTCGAACTGGTGTTCCGTGTGTTCAGCAATGACACATTGAACACACAATGCCCCAGAACATGTCTGACAGAAAATCGCCAAACCCTCGAAATGTTTTTCACAAATCCATTCCTCTCTCTGTAACAGATGTCTGTCGTAGTGACCCTCCTTGAGCTCATCAAGGGAGACCACTCGATGTGTTGCAGTAAGAGTTGAAGAGTTATGTCCCGTGGAACATGTTTTACAAAGTGTGTCGCCACAATCCAAACAATGGTGAGTTGAGTCAGAAAAGTCGCCTTTCAGCGAACAAACCACGCAGCCTGATGCGTTTGACGTGCGACAAGCATATACCCTTTGACGCCCGAGTACATAGAAGCTTGTTGCTAGGGAGCTCGCTGATTTCGTCTGTAATCGTGTTTGATGCTTGCACAGAGGACATTGGAAGACATGTTCTCCGCCCTCGGTTGTAAGACGTTCTTCAATACAAAGCTGGCAGAACGAATGGAGACACGTCAGAAGTTTTGGGGAGGAGAACGGCTGTTTGCACAGCCTGCAGATGATATCTTCTGGAGAACCTAGGATTGTTCCTTTTAGTAGCGTTGATGTCATACTGCATCACCTAAATTATGAAGAACAATTAATTATTTGTCTGCGCATACATGCAGAAAGGTCAGAGCTTTGTTCTTTTCTGGATATTTTCAAACACTTTTGTATGATATCGATATACCTGGAATATCTTAAAGTGAGTGTTTAACTACAACATTGCCGCTATATTTCTCTCACTTCATGTTCTTTCCACAACAGAGTGTGAACCAGACACAGCAGAGTGTGAACCAGACACAGCAGAGTGTGAACCAGACACAGCAGCGAGTGGGTAAATATTGTCTTACGCAGTCGTCAGCAATATTCTAGGTCAATGACGAATCTGTTAAGACGTTATGACGAGGTATAAGCTACATTTAAGCCATGCAGGGACAGACAACCCCTGATAGAAAGAATTCACGAAGTCTTGGCCAGACAACACGATCAATGGTTTACAATATATATATATATATATATATATATATATATATATATATATATATATAAGTATTAAAAAATCTGGTCATTCATACACTGAAGTTGAATTAAGTTATATCTTTATTCAACCATATGAAAAATCAGAAGGAATGGCTGCATAGTCAGAAAGAAATGCGAACATGAATGACTTGTAGTATAACCATAGAGTTCTAGATAATTTTTGTCATTAAACAATATATCAAGTGACTAATCACGGGTCCGGGTAGTCCTGTGGGTACCCGGGTCCTACTCAGTACCCATCCGACCCAGCCCTAGTGGTTTGGTACATGAATATGCATGAATTTCGCTTAAACATGTTAAAAGTCCAATGCCTAACTAGACTAGTCAAGCCCATTTGCCCAGATATTGAGTCGAGTAGCATACACCAAAGACGTATATACGTCCGTGCATACACCCATTACGAAATAGAGAATCATGGACGCTTAATAACGAGGAGATACAAAATAAATGTAACAGGATGTCGAATCACATGTGTGTCGTTCAGATCAAATAGGCAGACGTCCACAGAGTTTTACGGGGTACGCTACCTGAAAAGGCTGAGACAAAAATCTTGAATTTCTCGTAATGATGTCACACTGAAACTGGTCGTTACACGTCTGCTGTGTTCAAACCGTGCACACTTCAGGTCGGTGTTGATAGAAAAATGACCCCGTGAAATAAGCTATATGGGGTACACTATATTTTAGTTGTTATTGTTCCAAAGATGTGGTACGTATGGGACATTCGAATCTAATCGTGAAATACGATCCAGTCATGTTCAAGGCAACATTCATTATATTATATGACCGCTCTTCAAACCTGATTCGGTTTGTTTGTTGTTAACGCCACACTCACCAATATTCAAGCTATATGACGGCGGTCGGTAAATAATCGAGTCTGGACCAGACAATCCAGTGATTAATATCATGAGCGTCGATCTACGCTATTGGGATCGATGACATGCATCAACAAAGTCTGTGAGCATGACCTTCCGATCCCTTGGTCGCCTCTCTTAAACAGAGGAATTATATGGAGAGAATCTATAATATCGAGAAGAATGACACTTTCGCAGCGCTTACATATCACATGTCACGTATCAAATTTTTATTCAAAAGACCGGTAGCTTTATATCAATTAATGTTTAAAATGTTTGAAATTAATTTCATTTTTAACAAATGGAATGTTTTTTAGAAGGATCATTTACCATCTGCACCGCCGGGGTGATCACAGCATTCAGCACGGTGAAGGCCGCTCTATATTGCGGAAGAGAGTTTCAGCTTTTATAATGTAAGTTCCCTGTCCGACAAGCGTTGTTCATCGCTCTACAGAAGGTAATATGTGTTCTTCATTCCGACTGATACACAAATTAAGCAGCGCCCTGCCAAGAAAATACACCAGAGTTGATCGAGTTATTATCCCCGTTATATCGCGCTAGTCGACGACCTTCGGCTTTAATGGGATCTATTTGAAAAGTGTGAGAGCTATAATTTATCATTGTCGTTGACAATCAATACATATGCTGCAAAGTAGCGATCTACAATCCCGTGTAAACATAGTTCCCGAGCACCTTTGTCGTTAGAGACGATTACCGTAAATCCTTGCATAACTGGGCGGCCAATCGGTTATACTATACACAGCGTAACAAGCTGATTAAACTCGGAATCTTTTTACAAAATTGCATCGCCATCTGGCGTTCTTTATTGTCAACGTCCTTTAGCAGTTTAGTGTCCTTTCGTCCACAATGACGTTCTTGAGTACTCATTGTTCTTTCTTTTCGTAATATTTGACTATTACACTTTTGACCTTTATTTCTACTTTGTATTTTTGGACTGAATGGCTGCCCGTCGTGTATTTTAAACCGTGTTAAAGAAACTTTTGATTTATACCATACGAACTCAACGTAAACACTTAAAAGAGACATTTCATCAAACCTCAGCAACTTGACAATTGAAATAAACAGAACCACTAGAGAAACCCCTTATATTGACCTATTTCTTTTAATAGTATCATCGTAATAATAATTATAATCAGTTATCAATTATTATCAAACATTTTTGCTCAAGCCTCCCGTTCATATAATGTGGCAAGGGAGCCAAGGCCCAAATTAATTAATGAAAGATATTACGTATGCATAGTATTTAAGCATTTATAAGACCTAAATGCACTAGACATGTGTTTGTAGCTCACTAAAGAAATCAAATTTGAAAATAGTACCACGTCGGTACTGTAGCTCTCCAGAATATGTAGTCAAACGTTTAGTGTAGTGCACCAACGAATATTCAAATTTGGTCTCTGTTGAATGTCTTGAAAGAGGCCTTTCCCCGTCCTTGAATCCAGATAGTGCTGGAAGCTGGCGGGAATGAAAATCGCACTTGGCAAATAAACAGAGGCAAAAGAAAGTATACCCTGTTTGTTTTTTATGTCATTGAAAATTTAAAAACTGTTGTTAAATTTGATTATGACTGTTTAACCATCTCTCATTCCCGCAGCAGTTTATAAAAAGTGGCTGGGTAATTTTGTGTAAAAATAAATTGGTTCCAAGAAGACTTGGGTAAATAATCAACTTGCAACCACGTGACCCACTACCATGTTTGAAATGTACATTTGTGTCGAAAAAAGCCAATTTATGGATTTTCAAAGATAAGGTGTCAAAGATACCCATTAGAATTGGTGTATTATGCGATTTGTTTTTTTAATTTTCAAAAGTCTAAAATCAAATTATATTTTGAAAGATAAAACCATGTAGAAGACTTCTTTGAAAATCGAACAAATCATTAAGTCAACTGTGCGGTTTTGTTTCTCTTGCTCCTCAGTTTAGATAGGACACAAGGCAGGTCTAAAAAGGCCTCGACAATTCCCCTTGTCGCTCTTATAGATGTGAGCTAAAAAGTATAAACCCCCTCCCAGTCTGCATAGTCATTAGAAACAATTATTTATCGTTCCCTCAGTATATCAGTAGTCATAGTCTGTATATGGTCATATAGTCATGGATTTATGCTCATATGATGTCAATCACTGGATTGTCTGGTCCAAACTCGATTATTTACAGACCGCCGTCATATAGCTGGAATATATCTGAGTTAACAAAAAAAAAGAAAATAAAAGTTGTCCATTTTGGTTTCAGGTGAAGGAATATGACGTCGACATCATCATCCGGAGAAATAATGGTACCTCAAGAAGACGTAACCTGCAGGCTGTGCAAACAGCCTTTCGTCACCCCAAAACTTCTGACGTGTCTCCATTCGTTCTGCCAGCTTTGTATTGAAGAACGTCTTACAACCGAGGGCGGAGAACATGTCTTCCAATGTCCTCTGTGCAAGCATCAAACACGATTACAGACGAAATCAGCGAGCTCTCTAACAACAAACTTCTATGTACTCGGGTGTCAAAGGGTGTATGCTTGTCGCACGTCAAAAGCATCAGGCTGCGTGGTTTGTTCAATGAAAGGCGACTTTTCTGATTCAACTCACCATTGCCTGGATTGTGGCGACAAACTTTGTGAAACATGCTCCAAGGGACATAACTCTTCAACTCTTACTGCAACACATCGAGTTGTCTCCCTTGATGAGATCAGGCAAGGTCAGTATGATAAACACCTTTTTAAAAAAGAGGAGCAGATGTGCGCAAAACATTGCGAAGGATTGAACATTTTCTGCCATACGTGTTCTGAAGCACTCTGTGTGCAGTGTGCTTTTGCTGAACACACGAAACACCAGTTTGACACTGTAGAGGAAGCAGCTGAAAAGAGACGTCAGTCCATGAAGCAGGCACTGACAATGGTGGTAGCCACGTCTTCCAATATCCAGACCTCTGCCAACAAACTACAAGCAGAGATAGATCAGTTGAACAAAGAGGAAGAGATATTTGTAAGTGACCTGACTTCATCAGTTGAGGCAGTGATGGAGAAGATCAGGAAGAAGAGCTCTGAGGTGTTGGAGAAGGGCAGGAGAAGTTTTGAGGACGAGAGGATGAAGAGACAAAGGATGCTGGAGTTGATGAATTCTGAGTCTGAAAGGAGGGAGGAGATTGTCAGAGTGTGTCGACAGGTGGAAGAGGGTGGTGGGTTGACGCTTCTACTGCTTTTCCAAACACTCCAGCAAGGGTTGAAAGAATTTGCAAAGGCAGTTAACAGTGTGTCATGGAGGGGGGATCTGACCACATACAAGGTGAAAATAAACCTTCCGCTTGACACAGAATTTATTACTTTTCGAGAAGTACGAATGGTCGACGATGTGCCAGGTTTCCATGCAGGTCCTGAGCTTACCCCCCAGTCTTCCAAGCCCGAATTGCTCAATGAAACAACGAAAATGCAAGCCACACATTCCACAAGTTCTAGCACACAACAAGACCGGACAACTGTCACAACAGCCAAAGATGAGGGGAATGGTGAAGTTGTGGGAGCGAAAGATTCGTCAGCGTCAACAGAATTCCTGGAGATAAACCTGCACGAGATAGATGCAACAGCTGGAGGGGTTTTACCATACAAGCGTCAGTTCAGCACAAAAGTCAGTACTGATAAATCACAAGCTAGAATAAGTTCCATGGCTCTTAAAAGTGAGGGTAGACTTTTGGTTTTGGACGAATCAAATGCAAAACTGAAAGATTTCCATGAAGATGGTAAACTTATTATCTTAGTGAATCAGGATGGAAAATGTGATCTTTTCAAGCAGTTTGTGTGTGTTGATAATGACAACATTTGTGCTATCTATGAAAACCTCCTTGTTATATTAACAAAGCATTTGCAGGTTGTGTCGAAAACACCCTTGCTTCCAAAAGGAGAAATGACCTGTGGTCCCATTGTCGCTAACTTTGGGAAGCACATCCTTATCGGTAATCTGCCAAACAAGGAGATGCGGGTCATGACGACAACAGGGAAGGTGGTCAGAAGTTGGACGAGTCAGGTCAAGGGCGCGATGGAATCCTTTCGCTACGTAGCAGATGATATAGTGATCGTGTGCTCTTGGCGAGGGAAAGGGTCTGTGTGTCTCGAGTCAGAGAAGGGCGGCCCTTTCCTCAGGATCAACGGACACAAACGGAATGGCATGAAATGGCGGCCGTCGGACGCCATCTTTGGTGCAAATGGACGTATCATAGCGTCTGATATGCACAGGAATGAGATCCTGATTTTCGCCCCTGAGGGTAGAGCTCTGTGTGTAGTTGATACAATGCAGAACAGTGTGTCTGAACCGCGTTGTGTGATTTTGGATAAGGGTGGCAAAGTGTATGTTTCCTTCAAAGGTGGCATGGTTGCTGTTTACAAAATAGCGTGATCTATGTGAGATCTTAGAGATGAATCTGAGAATTGTTTGATGTGTGTGAGATCTTACGGAGGAATAAAAAAACGGTATGATGCATTAAAGTATCTGAACCGTGATGTGTGCTTTTTGGAAAAGGGTGGCAAAGTATATGTTGTGTTCAAAGGTGCATGGTTGCTGTTTACGTACATGTGTGATACATGTAAGATCTAAAGCTGAATTTAAGATTCGTGTGGTGCATGTGAAATCTTACTGAGGAACGTTACAATTGTTTGAAGCGTGCGAGATCTTACGAGGAACTTATGAAATGTTTGATATATTAAAGTGCCTTAACCGTGATGTGTGCTTTTGGATAAGGGTGCAAAGTATATGTTTGTTCAAAGGTGCATTGCTGCTGTTTATAAAAGTGTGTGATGCGTGTGAGATCTTAAGAGGAACATAAGACGTGTGTGATGCATGTGAGATTCTACAGAGGAACTTAAGAATTGTGTGATGCATGTGAGTTCATAAGAGGAACTTAAGACGTGTGTGATGCATGTGAGATTCTACAGAGGAACTTAAGAATTGTGTGATGCATGTGAGATCTTAAGAGGAACTTAAGAATTGTATGATGCATGTGAGATCTTACGAGTAACTTAAGAATTGTGTGATGCGTGTGAGATCTTACGAGTAACTTAAGAATTGGGTGATGCATGTGGGATCTTACGAGTAACTTAAGACGTGTGTGATGCACGTGAGATCTTACGAGTAACTTAAGAAGTGTGTGATGCACGTGAGATCTTACGAGTAACTTAAGAATTGTGTGATGCGTGTGAAATCTTACGAGTAACTTCAAGAATTGTGTGATGCGTGTGAGATCTTACGAGTAACTTAAAACTTGTGCGATGCAATTGAGATCTTACGAGTAACTTAAGAATTGTGAGATGCGTGTGAGATCTTACAAGTAACTTAAGAATTGTGTGATGCATGTGAGATCTTACGAGTAACTTAAGAATTGTGAGATGCACGTGAGATCTTAAAATGTCACGAGGTGTACTTCAGGAGAAGCGTGCAAAGTGAATCATCCGTTCAATGGTGGCGTGGTTGCTGTGTAGACAATTATGTGATGCGTGTGAGGTCATTAAAGGGCAAGTCAAGTGAAAAAATTGGTTGCGTTTTTTGTTGCGAAAAATCGGTTTCCCAAGGGACATTAAGTCAGTTCATGAGAGAGAAAAAAAATCTTAACATTCGTAGAAAGTATTTAAATGTAACATGAAAGTGATGAAATCATACGCTTCGTATTGAATTGCAAAACAAAACTATTGGGGGCGTGGCCTAAAGCTCCCGGTGCAACGGTGAAGCGATGCGTGACAAATGTGTCATTGGCTGATATGTGGACTTGGTTGCAGTGTCTGTCTACTATGTAATCTATATAGAATGGTATTGTATCTACCTAAATATCACTTTATAATGTCACAGATCGTCGTACACTTGTCACGAATTAAGCTGATTTTGACCGCCAAGTCAAGTCGGACCAAATACTTGAGACAGAGATTTGTTTGAGAAAAGTCAATAAAAGCGCTTCACTTTAATGGGCCGGTTCTCTTTAAATACGACGACCAGTGACATTATAAAGTGGAATGTGGGTAGATATAATAACAGTCTATGGAGGTAAACACAACTGATGGTACATCTTGAGGTTTTAGTTGCTATCAACTGCCGGGGCCTTGTCTGAACAAACACTTCTGATATACAGAGCGAGTGAGTGTGGTCTTAAGCAGCTTTTAGCAATATTCCAACAATATGACGGCGTGGGACACCAGAAATTGGCTTCACAAACTGTACCCATGTGGGGATTCGAAACCGGGATTTCGGCGTGATGAGCGTAGGCTGTAATCACTAGGATACCCCACCGCCCCTCTGATAGGTGAGGTGAGGTGAAAAGGGGTTTAACGTCGCGTCAAAGATTATTGCACTTATATAGCGACATGCATGCAGGTGTATGTGTGTGTGTGTGGCTGCTTGTACTAGTCCGGACTGATGCCGATTTATAGTGCTAGCACACTGAGATACCATGCCGCAGTTTAACATGAATACCCCACTAAGTATACTGACTCCGAGCCGACCAGTCCTTGTTTTAGCCCCTTAATGCCGAGCGCCAGACAGGGTAACAACAAGTACCATCTTTTAACGTCTTTTGGTATGACGCGGCTGGTGATCGAACCCCGGACCTTCCGTTCTCCGGGCGGACGCTCTACCATTAGACCACGGAGGCGGTCTCCCCTCTTATAGCGACCATGTGGAGAATGTAGAGACAAAAGGGTTCCATTTTAACGGACTAGTACGTTTAAAATACGAGAAACTGTGGCCTCATAAAGTTGTAAGTTGGTAGAGGAAATATCCTTCTAAATATGTTAACACTTCCCATGATACATAACTCATCTTTGATGTTTCAATTGATTTTGACCACACGGTCACGCTTTTGACGAGGAAAATGGTTGTAGTTTAATTGGTGTATAATGTAAGAATATAATATATAATATAAATGGCATGTTTACATATCACTAATCTATCAATCTGAACACATTCCCTGAATCACCTGTTCAGTTTTAATTATTTGGCTCGCCTGTACAATCCTGTACAAACATATTTCTGAACAAAGACATGTTGAGTCTTTTTAAAAATATATAACACTTCACTTTAATGGATGCATTGTCAAGAGTATTTATTGTAGCGCTATAAAGTATAAGGCGTGGTAGTGATCGGGATCCATCAACACGTGGGGTGAGTCACGTGTAACTCCTCAGTGAATTATCTTTAAATGCATGCTTGAATTGTGAATATGTAGACACTTTAGTTTAATAGCGATTTTTGGGGGGTTTATATAGGAACTTCTAAGAACGGACTTCAGACACTAGTATCGTTCTTAATTGTATTTTAGTAACTTTAACATTGCTCGAAGTGCTTTAACAGTTATCAACACGTTTCGTGTCAGTCTCTTTCACATTCGCGAATGTCCAGTTACAGAAAATACCGTGTGTGTGTGTATGTGTGGCTGCTTGTACTTGTCCGGACTATTGCCGATTTGATAGTATTAGCCCACTGAGATACCATGCATCAGTTAAACGTGAATACCCCACTCAGACACAGCATACTGACTCCGAACCGACCAGTCCTTGTTTTAGCCCCATACTGTCGAGCGCAAGGCATGGTAACAACAAGTACCATCTTTTAACGTCTTTTGGCATGACGCGGCCGGGGATCGAACCCCGGACCCTCGGCTATCCGGGCGGACGCTCTAAATCTAGACCACGTTGGCGGTCCACATATAAAACAAAACACATACAGTCAAGACACAGGCTATTCCAAGAGAACTATCGGTATGTAGTCATAGTTATCACTTATATTGTGACATATACATTTAGATTCAAACTGAATTCCTTGAGCACAACTTTACTTCCGAAATGTCCTTCAGAGATATATTTGCCCAGATGCGTGCGTTTCGTTTTTTTCTCATTCTGCAATCCATTTTAGGTATTACCCGCTGGTCCGGCCCGGTCCGGCTTTTTCCTTACCCGAGCTTTTGCCCGAAACATTGGCCGCGTCCGGTCATCACGCCATTTTAGGCCAAACCAAAAGACGTTTTGTCTTATTGGCGAAACTTTATCATTCAGTCTGGGCTATGAATATAAAAAATAACAGGGTTGCATCGGTCTCAGCTTTATTAGCTTTTTCATTAAACAGAAACACAGATTTGAACCGTCTAGTAAAGATTGAAGGTCGAAGCTCAGGAGCTTGTAACGTAAATTTATATCAGCAACAAGATAAATGGACGATATTTCATGTGTCGAGAGATATATCATCTCCATTCCCCAGTCACTCGATGAGAGAAACATGATATTTCAAGAGACAAATGGAATAGGCTATTTATTATATACTTTTTGTGTAATTGTCTTCCTGAAAATTGAATTATTTCATTACAAATGTAAACCTTAAAACGTAAATTCTCCCTACTACCGTAAAAAGGAAGACAACAGTCAACTTCGGGGTAGACATTTGCGATAAAGGGAGACAATTTGTGGGGAGGTATCTCTTGTATGACAAAAGTTCCGTCCAAGTGTTATGTTCACTGCAATGAAATTATCACTTTTCACAACTTCGGAAAACTCGCACTGACGTCTTTCACACTGAAGTATCCCCATGTTATGTGTTTTCGAAAGCTTTAGAAACATTCGTAGTTTTCTCTCTCATCACATAAAGAAAACACCTTTAAAACATCTCATTCACTTATTAAAGACAACCTTCTCCCTAAAAAACCCAACAATCAATCACCCGAGTATTTACAATGCCTGTGGGGTGCTACATACCCCGTTATGTCGCGAGTAATCGCGATAACCATGGCCGTCCGAAAACGTATGACACCCGAAAACCCATGATCTGACGGTATATAATAAAGTATAATCTTTTTATATTGTACTGTAACAATGTTACGGTATAGTGACCATATTTCTTGTTGCTATTGTTTTGCGTTACAAGGCCCTGTGGGTCGAATGCCAATCGTGGCCAACTTCCAGAACAAGCCGAATCTCCAAGGTAACGAAAAGATGCGAATGGTGACGAATGAGCGTGAAAGGGCTGAACTCCTTTGCTCCGTCAATCACAGTTTGACCCTGCAAGGAAACTAACCTAATATATTTCTACGCGGATGGAAATGTCAACAGATGTAAAAGGATTTGATTAGTTATAATTAATCTGCTGGTTTCAGATATATAGCACACATGCATACCTATGTGTTGCAGACATATAATTGATATCTGTACACGTAACCATTAATATATGACGCACTATATCAGGGGACAATGCACTTCCGGAAAGGAGGCGGAAGTGCTCTTCGGCTCACGGAATCTGTCAACACGTGTGTTTGTGTATGTGTTCATTTTGATGTGCTGATCGCGTACCATGGATGCCTCCTCGTCTGATGAACTTACCTCAGATAGCGAATTGGACGAAATATTTGAATCAGCTTGGAAAAAGACGAGCGTGTCACTGACTCGAGACAAAATAACAAATAAAGCAGACTTGGATCCAACTGTTGTAAGTAATTCTGACCCAGAATCCGATTCGGAAGACCAATTGCCTTTCGTTATTGACAAGACCCCAGCACGGAAAGACGCAAGTACATCAAAAGAAGAGGAATGCATTGTTTTGAATACTGAATCACATAATCGAAGTGATAGTGAATCAGGTGGAGAGAGCGATGACGGGTCGTCCTTGTTCGTTATAGATAAGACACCTTCTGCTGAGGGTGCCAGTACGTCTAAGGCGACAACATTCATAGACGATTGCGATGAAGGTGAAAAACGGCTCCCCAAAGAGAAACGGAATCGTGGAGAACATAGAAATAAAAATGACAGAGGAAAATCCGACAAAAGCCACAGGTCAGATAGCTAGAAATATTATCAATTATCAGCTTATCATGATAATGATATTGTTTAAGGTAATTGTCTCTTATATTTATAAAAAAAACAGAGCTCCAGAAATACGCATTAAAATAAAATCCAAGCGTATCAAATATGCAACGAACATTACCGATTCGCTACAAAAATAAAACTTGTGCGCAACATCAAAATATTGTGAAGTAACCCTGCGTATTCGATTAGCAAATCAGCAACTTATTTTGAAATTATAAACGGACATTCTGCCAACCTTGCCAAACTCCACGATGACAGTTACATCATGATCATTTGCCATCCCACTTTCTTGTGGAAGTATCGTGGTATTTTTGAGTCCTATAATGCTCTCGAACCCACATGACACCAGTTTGCAGGGACTAGATGAATGGCTTCTAATATTTAACCTAAATACCCACATGTGTAAAAACTAGTGGGTAACAGAAATTTGAATACCCAGATAGAATTACTGATACCCAATGATTTTAAAATGCATGGGTAAAATACCCACAACACCAAAAGCTTATCTGGAGCTCTGAATGAGGTGGGGCAGCATGTAAAAATTGACACAGTACTAATTTTTTCAAATAAGAGAAATGATAGTGTTCAACGTTATTTAGGGTCTGGTTATTTATTGGGAGGGGGGCTGGTGGGCATGGAAATATGTTTCTTGTTTCGAAATATGATTCAGACCTGAGACCAATCTCAACACACCCCCCCCCCCCCCCCCCCCAATATATGACCAGTCCCAAAAATAAAAATGTTTATACAACAATAAATCTTAATTGTGTGGCTCAGATTACATTGCATATTGTCAAAATAAGGAAGAGAATTTATGGATGTCAACTTCTTTATCATGTTTATTATGAGGAACACAACGTTTAAGAGTATATGCATGCTCCTTCATCAAGTGAATGAAGGAGTAAGTAAATACTCCGAAATGTTGTGTTCCTCATAATATAGAAGTTGACATCCCTAAATTCTCTTCCTTATGTGTATCACTTCTAAATGCCATTCAAAGACTTTTCATAATAAGGCTGGTTATTGTTGACTACAGATTAAACCATCATTCACTAAGTCACCTTTTTTACCCACCAAGCTGATGATTCAAACAGTTAACAAAAGTAACGATGGTACAGTTGAATGATAAGATGCCTAAATGCTATCTTCACACCACATTGTACTCATTGTAGTATTATCACTGTACAAATAATACATTCTTTTCTATACCACTTACACCCACATTTTTTATTTCTTTTGCAGCATGGAACTGTCATCTTCTTTGCAAGTTAAATCAGACCCTTCGGATATATATATAAATTTTCACTCTATTCATGCTCCTCAGCCGAAATACAAGACTCACATTGAACGTCTTAGCAAAGAACATGAAGAGGTTGGTATCATTACGAACATGCAAATCATATTCTGCCACTGAACAGGACTGCCTCTGTGGTCTAGTGGTAGAGCATCCACCCAGAGTGCGGAAGGTCGTGGTTTCGATCCCAAGCCGCTTAATACCAAAAGACGACGAAAGATGGTATTTGTTGTTACCCTGTCTGGATATTAAGGGGCTAAAACAAGGACTGGTCAGCTGGGAGATAGTTTAGTTTGACTGTGTGGGGTATTCATATTATACTGTGTAATTCATTGGGTTAGCACTAGTATAAAATCGGCATCAGTCCGGACTAGTACAAGCAGCCACACACATGCATGCATATTGCTATATAAGTGCAATAATCTTGGACACAATGATAAACCCCATTTCACCTCACCTCTGCCACCTCACCTCTGCCACCTCACCTCTGCCACCTCACCACTTCCACCTCACCACTGCCACCTCACCTCTGCCACCTCACCACTGCCACCTCACCAGTGCCACCTCACCTCTCCTTCAGTATCATACTTTGTTTCTAATACTGTTGATGCAGTGCAGAACTAGGCCACACTTTCTTAGAAAATATGTGGCTTACAGTTAATTATTTTGAATACAAATTCGCTTGGGTAAACAAAACTAAACATGCTCAACACAGATCAGTATTATTTTTTTATTTGGTTCTGTTAAATTTGGTGGAGAAAATGAAATCTGATTGTGTTCAACAATAATAATGATCAAGATCATGATGGTGAGTCATTTATTGGTTTCAGATAATGGCGAAGAGCGTGATCACCCCAGACTTTGAAAAGAAAGATGCCATTCCTACTAATGAGGAAGGATTTAGAAGAAAGCAGAAAGAACGGAAGGTTGGAACATCAGGGAATTTCAATACAATAAGTATATCAACTATACAAGGCCCCGTGAAGATTCGGGGTAGAATAGGTCTTCAGCAACCCATGCTTGTTGTAATAGGCGACTATGCATGTCGTAATAGGCGACTAACAGATCGGGTGGTCAGGCTCGCTATGGATTGCTGCTCATTATATCAATCATTTGATTTATGATTGTCATTAGGTCTGGGATGAGACATTTACAACCCGGGTACCCACTCTAGGTCACAAGAGTTGAGTACAAAATATCCAATTGGGAATTGTTTTACCACAGTTGTGGAAACAACTATTCAAACACATCAATGAGTGAGTGAGTGAGTATGGTTTTAAGCCGCTTTTAGCAATATTCCAGCAATATCACGGCGGGGGACACCAGAAATGGGCTTCACACATTGTACCCATGTCGGGAATCGAACCCGGGTCTTCGGCATGACGAGCGAACGCTTTAACCACTAGGCTACCCGACCGCCCTCAAACACATCACAACGATCAGATCATGCATATACTGAAGATGGCGGAAGCTTTATCTTTACTCAAACATATACAGGTCAAAAGAAATGTGTGCATCGTCAGAAAGAAATGCGAACATTAGTGACTTATAGTGTAACCACTGAGCAATAGTGATTTTTGTTGTTGTCAATAAACAACGTATCACATGACTAACCACGGGTCCGGATAGTTATATGGGTGTGACCCAGCCCCCGAACCGAGTTGTCCGTCCCAGCCTTAATTGTCATACAATTGTCAAACTGGTGAGTGTTGTAAACAAAAATACTCAAACATACAAACATGAACTTTTTTTCAGAAAGCACGAGAACAGACCAAGGGGCGGGGCTGGTATAACATGCCGATAGGTGAGCTGACAGAAGAGAAGAAGAACGATCTCATTGCACTGAAAATGAGACGAGCCCTTGATCCCAAGAGGTTTTACAAAGGGGACGACATCAAGGGATTGCCCAAGTATTTCCAGGTGCTGTCTTGAAGGAGTTATCTCATTATAATGCTTAGCTTTTCATGATGTTTCTTACAATTAACATATATTTTTTACATGTACTTCACGAAAGAAGGTAAAAAAACACCCAATTCTTTTTATACGACAGATTAACAATAGTTTTATGAAAAACTCTGGTGTTCTTTAATGCCTTTTGAGTGGTACATACTGAACAAGAAAGTTTGGGATCATGATTCTTTTTGGGGATATTTGTTTTGTAGTGAAACTGAGCACAAAATGTCATTTCAAAACCTTTTGTTATTCTGGACATGTCAGTTAACAGTGACTGAGGAAGTTGTTATGATCCAGATTTTAAAGTAAACAATGGTAGATCAGTTGTATTAGGTTTTAGGAATAGCTGTCACGGTGGCCATATTGAAAATTAGATTTGAATCTTTTGGAAGAAATTCAAATGTCATCATCATTGATGGGGAGATGCATGTTCATGACGTCATTACTGAAGTGGTTTCTGGGAGATGCTTACAGTGCAAGAAAATGCACCGGATAACTGTCCAAAGTGCATAGGTCAAATTAATGTCCAAATGTAAAATGTCGTCCCCCAAAATGGATGCCTGTCATGGTGGCCATATTGAAAATATGATGACAACCAAATAAATAAATTCAGGTGTCATCATTGGTGAAGTTTCTGCTTCATTGCTCCGAGGAGAAGATGCTAAATGCCCGACAAGCAGGCAATGATGATGATAAGTATGATAAGTTCACCATGTTCACTTGACTTTCTGTCAGTTTAGCTGAACACTTGACCATGTTGAGTTCTGCCCTGGCTGTGTCTCCATATAATGAGGATATTTCCTGTATCGGGTGAAATATGATGTTTCTCTCATCGAGTTGGATGTATCCGTTTCAAACCTATTTTCATTTTCCCTGTACTCGTGCGTTAATGAATTTATACTCAATTGACGTTAACTTGTCAAGTTCCTCGCAAGCAAACTTGTTGAAGAGTCCTAGACTGGCAGAGGACAGGCACACCCTCTCATATTTTCAAATTAGTGAGCACCATTTTGACAGCTTTACGGCATGTCGTAAACATGCAATGGTCGTTTGACCGCTGATGTCGTTACAGTGCTCTAAACATTTCACATGGGCAAATATAAAAAAATGTGTCGGTGTGTTTGTTTAGTCCCGAGTCGGGCAGGGATGGTAATGTCGCGATCGATTTATTATGGCCTTACTAAGAGATGTGTTCAAGGCAACGCTTTTGCTTAAATTCCAGAAAAAACGACTGCCCATCTCATTATTTTGCCGTCTTAAATTCCAGTTTGGCACCGTGGTTGAGGATGCAAGCGAGTTCTACAGTGCTCGAATTCCCAAGAAGCAGCAGAAGACGTCCATTGTTGAGGAGCTGATGGCAGATGCAGAGTTCAGAAAGTAAGACCAACTGACTTGTCTGTCTTTAGGACTCTTGACAGGTGCACAAGAGTGGGCTGGTTTTAGACGGGCTAGGTTCTCAAACTTGTGTACCCCAGCAAGAGAGATAAGACGGTCATACAATATTTTGATATGCAGCAGAGAAGTATTCGTCTCTAACAAAAGTCCCCCCCCCCATCCTCCGATACACACATTCACACATTTTTTTCACCCAGGATATTTAATGGTTGGTCCTTCATCATGATTTGTAGCAAGCAAGATATGTAGCATGATGTCTTGAGTCTTGATGTGTGTTGTGTAGGAGATTGTAAATTATACTTGCAATATTATCCGTAACGTTATTACAAAATTGATGTTTTGGCTCTTTCTGTCATTGATTGTGATATGTTGCCTTTTCCAGATATAATAAACGGAAATATGCTGAGGTTCAAGACCTCAAGGCGAAAGGGCTTGGGCCATATAAGGGCATCCGAACTACGAAAATAAAGAGGAAGAAGAGGAAGTGAACATTACAGTGACATTTTCGGTGCAGATATTCTACTTGTGAAATAAATGTATTTACAAACAGAACTGGTTGTTGTGACATACTGGTTTAGGGTAAAGTACATCCACCCTGTGCACTCAAAAGAACCCACTCATCTGATGGTAGATGACCAGATGGTGGAAACACGAATACATACACCCGAAACACAAGTGTCAAAACTCGTGGTGTCACCCTGGGCAACTGACTTAGTTCAAATGTGCCTCTGTTCACACAGCACGGAATGGGTACCTGATATGTGAGGTGGGTGTAAAAGTGTCAAAACGTGTGGTGTCACCCAGTAAAAAACGCTCTAGCTGCTTGGTGAACAAATAAACCGCATTTGAGCAGATACTAGTACCTGGATACCTTGATTTATTTAACTGCTGGACCGTGGCCAGTTAAAATTACGAAAGGCTTGCTGAAATGTAAAGTAGACGGCACGTCTGGCTAGTCAAAATTTTACCCCTTCTCCATGTGTGTTTAATTTTTTTAAATTGGACACTGCTTGTGAATCATGTAATTTTAATGAGAAAATATTTGGGGCTGAGGAGGTCGTGTGAATGGTTAACTCAAAGAAAGATATATCCCGATCTTCTTGTTAGAATGACACAATCGGCAGTCATTCCTTAATGTTGTGTACAACAACATCCATATTTGCTCATGTTGCCATAAAAAAAGGCAAATGGAAGACGAGACTAATCTCACAGTGCAGGAAAAGATGTTTTAGGGGTGAGGAGTCCTTCCATAATTTAATTGCTGGCTGAATACAAATTTGTTGTTAAATCTACCCCTGTGCATAAGACATTGATCTCATTTTCATAAAGGTCCCATTATGCAAGGTGAGGTAATATGGGGTTTAACATCGCGTTCAAGATTATTGTACTTTATATATTGACATGCATGCACATATGTGTGTGCGTGCATGTGTGGCCTTTCCATGCCACAGTTTAACATGAATACCTCACTGAGACACAGTATACTGACTCCAAGCCTTAACGCTGACCTCCAGGCAGGGTAACAACAAGTACCACTTTTAACATCTTTCAGTTTGATGTGGCCGGGGGTCGAATCCCCAAACTTCCGCTCTCCGGACAGGCGCTCTACCACCAGACCACGGAGGCGGTCTTTACCTGCTGAAACACGTACAAGAACAGTTTCGCCGGATGGTCACAAGTCATACTCATATGTGATGCAAAGAGGCAGGGAGAGCATATAAAAGGGTAGTCCAGTAACTATGACGATGGAACAGTTCCTGAACATGTTATTAGATATCAATTCTGGTTTCTGTATTTCAATAGGAGTGGGTCACAAATGCATTTCATCAGAAAAATAATACCCGATAAAATTTTTTAAAATGCTTATTTTATCTGGAAATAAGTATTAATTGCTGCTTTATCCTTTTTCGAGGTGTATTATTAACATCCTCGCTGACTTGGTTGGCCAAGGGGTCAACATGGTCAAAGGTGCCATGATTCGATGTGCAGAGTTGCGTCCCTTGGGCATGCCAGAAACCTATGATTGTGGGTTCGAATGCCCAATTCTGTTTCAAAGTCTGACAGTATCATACCTGCGCCTGTTGGTTTTACTTAAGTGGTAAACGTCTAAAACCTGTATCACTTGGGCCTTTCCTCCCACATGAAGCGGACAAGGCGTGACATAACTCGAATACTGTACTAAACAACGTTAAACCAAACTCACTTGACATCTTCAACTACTATTCAATACAAACAATAATTATATCAACAGTTTATTATCAGTAAGTCCAGTACAAAAAGAAAATATTTGAATAATCCAACATATTTACATACATATTTGAATACTTCAGCCTGCTAAAATTGCACACATTTCATAAATTAGTGAGCTGTATTTTTAACATTCTTGCTAGGTCATGGCTAAGCGTTGCTCAGTTTTCGTTGTAGGCAATCAATACATCCAAGGTGCCAACCAGTGACAACTGTTCTAAAAAATGCTGGATAAAAATAATTTCTCAGATTTTTCATAAGGAAACACACATGCTGGATGTTCCTTTCCGAAAAAATATGGTATGTCTTAGATGCTAACTGAAAAAGTAGTTTGTATAGAAAAAAAATTCCAGGCCCTGAAAATATATTATTGTCAGACCCTAAAAGAAATTGTCTTAATAGGGCAAAAATGTAATTGCCTTGAGGCTTTTAACACTTATCTAATTCCTCAAAATTTCAACAATTCAAATTTTTGAAATATCCTCATTTCGCAATAAAAAATAAAACGGTCACAGTGGAGGTTACGAGCATATCAGAGATATGATTACTGATAATTAATAAGGTCTTATTCTTGATTATTCTTCAATATAGAAAAGTATCAATTTTTCAGTTACAAATGAATCGGGGCTGCATGTTTTTAAGCCCTGGGATAATTACAGATTTTTCCTATTTTAGTAATACTTCATCCAAATTCAAGCCCAGGGCTTGAAAACGAAAAGAACGAAACTATGATAGGAAGAATGAACATCCCCTGTGCAATGAAACATTACCATATTCGACGTAATAAGCGCTCAGGGCGCCCTAGAATAAAATTTTGGTGAAAAAAGACAGAGTTGAAAGATCATAAATTTTGTGGTTTATGCTAACAGCCTGAAATGATACAAAAGAAAAGTTTGTGTGTATTTTAAAAGACAGATATATTGTTCCAGAATTTAATTGCCCATAATTAAGGGTGCATATAACACACGAGTGCGTATCATACACAAATAAATAAGTCTTGTCAAGGCCGTAGTTAAATTTTTTGACAGGGGGGGGGGGGCAAATATTTGTACAAGTATCACTTGTCCCCAACTTGATTCAAATAAAACTGTTTTCTATAAAAAGAAATCGAGGGGGGCAACTGCCCCCCCGGCTGGCTACGGCACTGCTTGTGTACATTGATCAATCGGAAGAAATTGGGATTGTTCACTTGCCAATATATTAGCAAATATCGCCATGGGCGCTTATTACGTCAAATACGGTACTCACAAATAGATGGAGAGAGTGACACTCACAAGAGACATGATTTAACTTTTTGCTACTAGAAAATTATGAGTCAAGAACACATTCAAAACTGAAACTGAAAACTGTCAAAAATGTCAGTACAAACCAATATCGCCGTTATGCGTGTTTGTCACGTGTCTGTAATGTCCCACATTGTGTATCCGGAATACCACCTAGAGGAAGGGTCAGAAGCGTGCTACAACACATGTTGAAGAATATCCAGTACGGGAGATCAATAATTTTTCCAATTAAATTTAAGCCAATGGGCAAAAAAGCAGTTTATTTTTTCCCGTTTATAAGCCCATGTGCTAAATAACGAGGGGGCTAAAGATGTGCAGTCCTGATAGAGAGCAAAACTTGATGAAAATATGAAATTGATCCTTACTGAATATTTAATAACACAAAATAGATAAATGTTAACATGTAATTTTCTTGATCCTCTATCCTTACCAAAGGTTGAGCAGCTTTAGACGAGCGAGGAATAGAAAACATAGATGCCAATATGTTGTCTCTAACAAGGATAACGTCTCACCTTGCTTTACAGTTCAAAACAGAAAAAGCAGTACCAACATCGCCAAATTGACATCTTTTACATGGGTGTCTGATTATTATGAAAGCCAAGCCTAGTTCGTCAAGGGTGGAAACTGGGCTTTTTCAGTCAGTTAACTCCCTTGCCTCAGGAAGAGTGAGTGAGTGAGTGAGTATGGTTTTACGCCGCTTTTAGCAATATTCCAGCAATATCACGGCGGGGGACACCAGAAATGGGCTTCACACATTGTATCCATGTCGGGAATCGAACCCGGGTCTTCGGCGTGACGAGCGAACGCTTTAACCACTAGGCTACCTGACCGCCCCTGCCTCAGGAAGATGGTCATTAACATGCTGAATGTGAAAAGTTTCAAATCGTCACATCAGAAAGATGTGATATGTCCGAATGTTATTCCTGTCAGGTTGGATAAATTAAACAATGAATAGTATCTACCCAGTCAATTCAAACTGAAAACATCTTGAGTGAATGGATGAATGTTGTCAAAGCCAGACTCAGCAATGTCACAGCTGAATCACAACCTGTAGAAAACCTAGCCTGGACCAGACAAACCAGTGGTCGATATTATGAACAAAGTCCAACTCACTGTCGCTGTATGATGACACACAATCAACTCACCAATGACAACCAGACAATCCTGAATGGTAATTACTAATGGTAGCTTCAAGAAATTTCAAAACTTGTGAGCAATTTTGTTAGTCACACAGCCATCCCACTTAGCAATTAATTCATATATAATATACATTGTTCAATGTAAAACATTTGACAATAATATACCAGTAAATGGTAACAACGATTATAGGTCGCAGTTCCAAAATGCAATCTTAGTGCCACTATTTCCTGAGCTATGTTTTTGTGACTTGTATGTATTAATTCATGTGATGACCAACCAGAACAATTCAATATCAATAAAGTAAACAACTGACTGATAAAATTCAGTGGAAAAAATATTCATAAAATACAATTTGACATCATAACATGTGAATAAATTTAAACAGGAATTTTATTCTTCTATTGCCACTGACTATCTTTGTTTAGACACTTGTCAAGCAGTGATGTATCACATGGTAAATGAATATCATGATTTGTGTTATAATTATGGTTTCAAGTTTGCTTTGTGCATTGTTGTGGCATCAAGAATGCTTTGTGGCATCAAGTATGCTTTGTGGCATGAAATTTGCTTTGTGGCATCAAGATTGCTTTTAAGGGATGAAGTTTGCTTTGTGGCATGGAGTTTGCTTTGTGGCATCAAGTATGCTTTGTGGCATGAAGTTTGCTTTGTGGCATCAAGATTGCTTTGTGGCATCAAGATTGCTTTGTGGCATCAAGTATGCTTTGTGGCATCAAGTTTGCTTTATGATGTCAAGTTTGCTTTGTGGCATCAAGTTTGCTTTGTGATGTCAAGATTGCTTTCTGGCATAAAGTTTGCTTTGTGATGTCACAATTGCTTTGAGGCATAAAGTTTTCTTTGTGATGTCAAGATTGATTTGTAGGATAAAGTTTTCTTTGTGGTATCAAGATTGCCTTGTGGAATTAAGTTTGCTTTGTGGTATCAAGATTGCTTTGTGGGATAAAGTTTGCTTTGTGGTATCAAGATTGCTTTGTGGGATAAAGTTTGCTTTGTGGCATCAAGTTTGCTTTGTGGCATCAAGATTGCTTTGTGACATCAAGTTTGCTTTGTGGTATCAAGATTGCTTTGTGGCACAGCGACACAGGCGACAGGCATCAGTCACACACATAGCCCAATGAGACATAAACATGTACACATAAATATAAAAAGTAGGAGACATCCAAGTCCAATACAAAAAGATAATGGTGCGTCTTGAATATTGAGCCTATCCAAAGAACTGTATTCACAAAGCATCAGCCTCCGAAAACAGATCTGTATGAAAGCAACCACCATGTCTATTTCTCCCACATAAAAATAATTTGTGTTGAAACTCTGTTTAACCACTTTATCCTATATTTTATAACAGTCTTCTTTCAGATAGAGTTGAACATCCCCTATTTTTACTGTACATTGATCACAAATGGAACCTGTCTGTGAAATCAGCTCAGGCATACTGAACGGTTGGCATCGTAGAAAAGCTTTTATTTAGTCAATCAAAACAATGTACTGCAGCTAGGGAAGGAACTCTCCGTATCACAGAATAGGACATGGTCCTTGCTACGATGCTGGCTCCCTCGTCTGTTATATGCCGAGCCCACCTGGAACAATTAATGAGTGTCTGACATGCTTTGGACATTTTGGTTTTTTTAGTTGTTGTTTAACGCTGCACTCAGCAATATTCCAGCCATATGACAGCAATCTGTAAATAATTGAGTCAGGACCAGACAATCCTGCAATTGACATCATGAGCATCCATCTATGCAATTGGGATCAATGACATACGGCAGCTAAGTCAGTTAATCTGACCACTTGATCCCGTTAGTCACCTCTTATGACAAGCATAGTCGCCTCTTACGACAAGCATGGGTTGCTGAAGACCTATTCTACCCCGGTCATGGTGTGCCACTTGGATGTGGGAGGAAAGCCTGAAGTGATGCAGGTCTTGGATGTTTACCAATCTCGTGAAATCAAATCATGGGTTTGATGCTGACAAACCTAAAAACATAATCAGGACAAATTTGGGATTCAAACCCATGACTAAATGTTTTTTGCATGCCAAAGGAATGCACCTCTGCATGGTGGAATGTGGCGCCTTAGACAACAATAAATGGATATTGGTAAGGCGCTATAGTCCATCCTGAAGCATGCTCAAAGCACTAACCCCGCACCCCCAGTCAATGGATTAGTGTGCACTCGATTTTCTTTCTCAGCCCCCTTGGGAGTACACAACCCAAGTTACCTGTGAGGCTCTAGAAGCCTAACAGTCACATTACCATCTCATTCTACCGGGTACCCATTCGCTGCTGGGTGAACACAGGCATATTTCAAACAAAGTCACTTGCCTAAAGAGACACCACATGTGGTACATGTGCTTTTACTTGGGTAAAACATTTTAAAAAATTTAACTGAAATTATGAATGTGCAAATAATACAGATCTGCAAAAAGTTAATGGTTCCTAATCAGTTCAGCTGAAATGTCCCTTATGGACAACGTACCTGCAACCTCGAGACTGGTACCAGTGATGTACTTGCTTCTGTCACTGGCCAGGAACACGCATGCATCAGCTACGTCTGTAACCACGGTAACAATGCAAAATGTAAACAAATCTCTTCACTGCACGAAAAAACCTTCAGCAATACTTGTCATAGAATCTAGCTATCCTCTGCTTGATTTGTGAATACGAACTCTGAAGTACTGATGAGAATACTGTGGTGGACTTTCTGCTCTGATCAGTCCTAGAAGGATTCTAGGGCAGGATAGACAATTCCCAGTACTGAACAGCAGTTGTCATTGGAAGGGAAATAATAATAATAATAATAATAATAATAATGTGCATTTTTATAATGCGCCAAATCCACACCCTAAAGCATGCTCAAAGTGCTCCATTATTAACCCAGTCTCTGGATCAGTGTGCACTTGGTTTTCATTCTCAGCTCCCTGAGGATCATACAACCAAAGCTGCTTGTGAGATGGAGATTGCTAATTAAATTCAAGGCCTTGTCAAAACACGATATCCATATACCTAGCTAAATCTAATTTCAAGGAATTTTCAAGACAGACCACAAACTTCACCCTGGTCACCAGAGGCAACTGTCATGGGGACTTGGCTCGTACAGCGTGTGACCTGGCTGATTGTATGTCATCGTGGCATGAATTGGTGATCATACTATCGACCATTTGTTGGTCGCATTGGTTTTTTTCCAAGGTTGTGTGATTTGTCTGGAACATTGCTGATTGACTCATAAAATACAATGTTATCTCACCCTCTGACTTCCCTATCTTCATCATGGGAACGAGGAACATCGCCCTCTGTAGCAGGTGTTCCGGGACCGCTGCTGTCATGGGAGTATCGATGAAGCCAGGGAGGACGGCGTTCACTCGAATGTTGAACCTGGGACAGCCATGATTACATTAAGTGTAACCTATTCATACATAACAGCATTATTTGTTCAATAATTCAATCTTAGTATTTTTTTACCCAAACATGATGATCCCCTATTTGTATACATAATTTGGTGACACCACTCAATTTGAACTTCCTGAAGCAGCTACATGGCAATGGCTGGTAAATAATGGATTCTGGACCTGACAAACCAGTGATTGATATTGTGAGCAATGTCCAACACCTTCAGGATCTATTCTAACCCGGATTCCCCATGGAGGTCTTTTCTACCATCTTCCCGAGATAAAAGTCCAGTTTCCAACCTTGCCGAACTAGGCTGGAATTCCTGGGCTCAATCGTAGCGCCACCAGTGGCTATTATGAGTTCCTTCTATGTCCCTCCTATTCACCAATCAGATTCCACCTCTCATTTCACTTGCATTTGCTTCAAAGAAAACTGTGGCGCCCAGTCAAGACGATCTGATAATCAAAATCTTTTTTGTGTAATAAAACGGGTCTTATTTCACGAATGCATCAGATCACGAGAGCACCTTGATTAAAAACATGAAAAGATTTGGAAAATATGTGTTGACAATGATTTGGCGGAACACATGATTTGCAAATCCTGCAATCGACCGAAATCCGCACAACATTTTATGTTCCGGACGTCGATTTCACGACCCAATTTTGATTGGACTTATGCATAGACTCGTTAGTCCAGTCAATTCTCCACAATTCCAGCCTTGTTCGGCAAGGGTGCAAACTGTACTTTTAAAGTCAGTTAACTCCCTTGCCTCAGGAAGATGTTTTCTACAAGCATGCCAAGTATCAGTTTCATTTGTCCTAGGAGATATAGGAGCACTCTGCTGGTCCTAGGGGTATCTGAGGAGATATTTGCACTCGGCTGGTCCTAGGGGTATCTGAGGAGATATTTGCACTCGGCTGGTCCTAGGGGTATCTGAGGAGATATTTGCACTCGGCTGGTCCTAGGGGTATCTGAGGAGATATTTACACTCTGCTGGTCCTACGGGTATCTGAGAAGATATTTGCACTCAGCTGGTCCTAAGGGCATCTGAAGAGATATTTGCACTCTGCTGGTCCTAAGGGTATCTGAGGAGATATTTGCACTCTGCTGGTCCTAAGGGTATCTGAGGATATATTTGCACTCTGCTGGTCCTAGGGGTATCTGATGAGATATTTGCACTCGGCTGGTCCTAAGGGCATCTGAAGAGATATTTGCACTCTGCTGGTCCTAAGGGCATCTGAAGAGATATTTGCACTCTGCTGGTCCTAAGGGTATCTGAAGAGATATTTGCACTCTGCTGGTCCTAGGGGTATCTGAGGAGATATTTGCACTCGGCTGGTCCTAGGAGTATCTGAGGAGATATGTGCACTCTGCTGGTCCTAGGGGTATCTGATGAGATATTTGCACTCGGCTGGTCCTAGGGATATCTGATGAGATATTTGCACTCTGATGGTCCTAGGGGTATCCGAGGAGATATTTGCACTCTTCTGTACGCAGGACAAGCAAGCCGTGGCACAAACTCCCCTCACTCACTGTTTTGAATAAGTTACTTCCCCTGCCGACCTACTTCCAAGTTTCCTGACTCAAATTAATCAGTAAACAGGAGAAAGCAGGAAGAGAGAATTATCATCTTATTCCTCATTCATGACTTCCGCGAAACTTGCCTAAGGAAGGAAATATCTATTTGAGAGCAAAATCAACAAACATCTCTTCTTTAACATCTTACAGTTTCATGTCACGCCATTCTAGGTTCTACACACAGACAGAGAAGTCCTCCACACCTCCTGAAGCTGACTGAACACTGACATTACATTCTAGGTTCTACACACAGACAGAGAAGTCCACCACACCTCCTGAAGCTGACTGGACACTGACATTACATTCTAGGTTCTACACACAGACAGAGAAGTCCACCACACCTCCTGAAGCTGACTGAACACTGACATTACATTCTAGGTTCTACACACAGACAGAGAAGTCCACCACACCTCCTGAAGCTGACTGGACACTGACATTACATTCTAGGTTCTACACACAGACAGAGAAGTCCACCACCCCTCCTGAAGCTGACTGAACACTGACATTACATTCTAGGTTCTACACACAGACAGAGAAGTCCACCACACCTCCTGAAGCTGACTGAACACTGACATTACATTCTAGGTTCTACACACAGACAGAGAAGTCCACCACACCTCCTGAAGCTGACGGGACACTGACATTACATTCTAGGTTCTACACACAGACAGAGAAGTCCACCACACCTCCTGAAGCTGACTGGACACTGAAATTACATTCTAGGTTCTACACACAGACAGAGAAGTACACCACACCTCCTGAAGCTGACTGGACACTGACATTACATTCTAGGTTCTACACACAGACAGAGAAGTCCACCACACCTCCTGAAGCTGACTGGACACTGCAGACATTACATTCTAGGTTCTACACACAGACAGAGAAGTCCACCACACCTCCTGAAGCTGACTGAACACTGACATTACATTCTAGGTTCTACACACAGACAGAGAAGTCCACCACCCCTCCTGAAGCTGACTGAACACTGACATTACATTCTAGGTTCTACACACAGACAGAGAAGTCCACCACACCTCCTGAAGCTGACTGAACACTGACATTACATTCTAGGTTCTACACACAGACAGAGAAGTCCACCACACCTCCTGAAGCTGACGGGACACTGACATTACATTCTAGGTTCTACACACAGACAGAGAAGTCCACCACACCTCCTGAAGCTGACTGGACACTGAAATTACATTCTAGGTTCTACACACAGACAGAGAAGTCCACCACACCTCCTGAAGCTGACGGGACACTGAAATTACATTCTAGGTTCTACACACAGACAGAGAAGTCCACCACACCTCCTGAAGCTGACTGGACACTGCAGACATTACATTCTAGGTTCTACACACAGACAGAGAAGTCCACCACACCTCCTGAAGCTGACTGGACACTGACATTACATTCTAGGTTCTACACACAGACAGAGAAGTCCTCCACACCTCCTGAAGCTGACGGGACACTGAAATTACATTCTAGGTTCTACACACAGACAGAGAAGTCCTCCACACCTCCTGAAGCTGACTGGACACTGACATTACATTCTAGGTTCTACACACAGACAGAGAAGTCCACCACACCTCCTGAAGCTGACTGGACACTGACATTACATTCTAGGATCTACACACAGACAGAGAAGTCCTCCACACCTCCTGAAGCTGACTGGACACTGAAATTACATTAGAGAGAGTGAGCGCGTGAGTAAGTTGGGTTTAACACCGCTTTGAACAGTATTCCAGTTATATCGCGGCGTGTAGGCTTGATGTGGGAGGAAAGCAGAAGTGATGTAGGTTTCAGACGTTTACCACTTCGGTGAAACCCACGGGTGTAGTTTTGACAAACTTAGAAACCATGATCATAGGTTTCTGGCGTGTCCAAGGGAGACAACTGCACATCGAATTGTGGCACCTTTGACCCCTAGGCCACCCAAAGACGTTAATTATACTCCTGGAAAAAGGAAAAAGCGCCAATTACTGTTAACTTCCAGATAAAATAAGCATTTTTTAAATTTGTATCGTGTATTATTTTTCTGATGAAATGTTTTTGTGACCTACTCCTACTGAAATACAGAAACAAATTGATTATTACTATAATGTTCTTGAATGATCCTTGCTCTGTTGATAAAAGATATGATCCTTGAAGGAGTGAAACGAAGACTTTTACAGGGCGCCGCCATTGATGCTGGCTCGCACATGGTCAATCCCCAAAACGAGACCCTGACCTCTGACCCATACATATGCATATAATTACAAACCTTGATTGCATATACACTACAATTACTTTTACCACTTTAGTGGAACCCATGAGCCCAGGTATGGTGCTGACAGACCTAGAAACATAAATGGGGTGAACCTGGATTCGAACCCATGGTCATAGGTTTAGGGGATGCCCACAGCAACCCTTGGCCCAAAATAACGAAAGATCTTTGTGACTTTCAGGAACATAGGCGGCATCGACACAGGATCAGAGCATTATGCGGGTATGATTCATGAGGGTCTACACTGGGGAGTCTGGGTTAGACCCAAGTAACATGCTGGTATGATTCATGGGGGTCTACACTGTTGGAAGTCCAGGTTAGACCTAAGTAACATGCTGGTATGATTTATGGGGGTCTACACTGGGGAGTCTGGGTTAGACCCAAGTAACATGCTGGTATGATTCATGGGGGTCTACACTGTTGGGAATGTGGGTTAGACCTAAGTAACATGCTGGTATGATCCATGAGGGTCTTCACTGTTGGGAGGCCAGGTTAGACTTAAGTAACATGCTGGTATGATTCATGAGGGTCTACACTGTAGGGAGTATGGGTTAGACCCAAGTAACATGATGGTATGATTCATGGGGGTCTACACTGCTGGGAATCCTGGTAGGACTCAAGTTACATGCTGTATGATTCATGAGGGTCTACAATGTGGGAGGTCCGGGTTAGACCCAAGTAACATATTGGTATGATTCATGAGGGTCTACACTGTGAGGAGTACGGGTTAGACCCAAGTAACATGCTGGTGTGATTCATGAGGGTCTACACTGTGAGGAGTCAGGGTTAGACCTAAGTAACATGCTGGTATGATTCATGAGGGTCTACACTGTGAGGAGTCCAGGTTAGACCCAAGCAACATGCTTGTATGATTCATGAGGGTCTTCACTGTGAGGAGTCCAGGTTAGACCCAAGCAACATGCTTGTATGATTCATGAGGGTCTACACTGTAGGGAGTCTGGGTTAGACCCAAGTAACATGCTGGTATGATTCATGAGGGTCTTCACTGTTGGGAGTATGGGTTAGACCCAAGTAACATGCTGGTATGCTTCATGGGGGTCTTCACTGTGAGGAGTCCGGGGTTAGTCCCGAGTAACATGCTGGTATGATACATGGGGTCTACACTGTGAGGAGTCCAGGTTAGACCCGACTAACATGCTGGTATGATTCATGAGGGTCTTCACTGTGAGGAGTCCGGGTTAGACCCAAGTAACATGCTGGTATGATCCATGAGGGTCTTCACTGTTGGGAGTCCGGGTTAGACCCAAGTAACATGCTGGTATGATTCATGAGGGTCTACACTGTGAGGAGTCCAGGTTAGACCCGACTTACATGCTGGTATGATTCATGAGGGTCTACACTGTGAGGGGTCCGGGTTAGACCCGACTAACATGCTGGTATGATTCATGAGGGTCTTCACTGTGAGGAGTCCGGGTTAGACCTAAGTAACATGCTGGTATGATTCATGAGGGTCTACACTGTTGGGAGTCCGGGTTAGACCCAAGTAACATGCTGGTATGATTCATGAGGGTCTTCACTGTGAGGAGTCCGGGTTAGACCCAAGTAACATGCTGGTATGATCCATGAGGGTCTTCACTGTTGGGAGTCCGGGTGAGACCCAAGTAACATGCTGGTATGATTCATGAGGGTCTACACTGTGAGGAGTCCGGGTTAGACCCGACTAACATGCTGGTATGATTCATGAGGGTCTTCACTGTGAGGAGTCTGGGTTAGACCTAAGTAACATGCTGGTATGATTCATGAGGGTCTACACTGTTGGAGGTCCGGTTAGACCCAAGTAACATGATGGTATGATTCATGGGTTCTACACTGTTGGGAATCCTGGTATGACTCAAGTAACATGCTGTATGATTCATGAGGGTCTTCACTGTTGGGAGTCCGGGTTAGACCCAAGTAACATGCTGGTATGATTCATGAGGGTCTACACTGTGAGGAGTCCGGGTTAGACCCGACTAACATGCTGGTATGATTCATGAGGGTCTTCACTGTGAGGAGTCTGGGTTAGACCTAAGTAACATGCTGGTATGATTCATGAGGGTCTACACTGTTGGAGGTCCGGTTAGACCCAAGTAACATGATGGTATGATTCATGGGTTCTACACTGTTGGGAATCCTGGTATGACTCAAGTAACATGCTGTATGATTCATGAGGGTCTTCACTGTTGGGAGTCCGGGTTAGACCCAAGTAACATGCTGGTATGATTCATGAGGGTCTACACTGTGAGGAGTCCGGGTTAGACCCGACTAACATGCTGGTATGATTCATGAGGGTCTTCACTGTGAGGAGTCTGGGTTAGACCTAAGTAACATGCTGGTATGATTCATGAGGGTCTACACTGTTGGAGGTCCGGTTAGACCCAAGTAACATGATGGTATGATTCATGGGTTCTACACTGTTGGGAATCCTGGTATGACTCAAGTAACATGCTGTATGATTCATGAGGGTCTTCACTGTTGGGAGTCCGGGTTAGACCCAAGTAACATGCTGGTATGATTCATGAGGGTCTACACAATGACATATTTGAGTTAGACTAGGTCCTAAGTAACATGCCAAAAATATAACTCTAGATTTCCAGCCTAGTTCGGCAATTGTGAAAACTGGAATTTTACAGTCAGTTAACAACCTTGCCTCAGGAAGATGGGTTGAGTGAGGCATTGCTCATTATATCAATCACTGAAGATTATTTACTGGCCCCAGTTATACAGGTATGTGAATCATAACTTGTGTGTTATTCATGAGCTGTGTGTGATTCATGATCTCATGTTTGATTTATGAGGAGTGATTAATGATTCAGAAGTTGGACTGAATCAAGATGAATAACTACGGTGCTCAATAGTTAGAAAATGTTACACCAGCTATAGATAGTTTCAGTTCAGTTATGACCAAACCTTGCAAATTCTCTTGCCGCTGTTTTCGTCAGTCCAATAACACCTGCCTTGGACGCTGCATAGTTGCCCTGCCCAATATTACCCATCTGAAACAGAAGCATCGTATAAATATCACGGCTTCATGCAATATTACCCTTCTGAACACACAGGCATAGGATATACAATAAGGCTTAACCCAATTATACCCAGCTGACACATAAGCATAGGATATACATCTAGGCTTCACACAATATTACCCATCTGACACACAAGCATAGGATATACATCTAGGCTTCACACAAAATTTACCCATCTAAAACACAGGCCTAGGATATACATCTAGGCTTCACACATTATTACCCATATAAAACACAAGCATAGGATATACATCTAGGCTTCACCCAATATTACCCATCTAAAACACAGGCATAAGATATACATCTAGGGTTCGCACATTATAACCCATATAAAACACAAGCATAGGATATACATCTAGGCTTCACACAATATTACCCATCTAAAACACAGGCATAGGATATACATCTAGGCTTCACACAATATTCCCCATCTAAAACACAGGCATAGGATATACATCTAGGCATGTATACTGCATACTCGACTTGTGTTTCTTTTGCGTGTGAGTATACATCTAGGCTTCACCCAATGATACCCATCTGACACACAAGCATAGGATATACATCTAGGCTTTACCTAATATTACCCAACTGAAATACAAGCATGCCATGGTTACCTTGCCGACGATGCTGGATATATTGATGATAGATCCATTCTCCACCTTGCCCTCCATCATACATTTGCCGACTGCCTGGTTCACCAGGAACGTGCCCTGGCAAGGGGAGAAATACTGCATCACAACCTGTTCCCAGGGACAATCCAGGGAGGCTACAGGGGGAGGGGTGGCAAAACATGACAGCTACAGGGGGTGGGGTGGGTGGGTGTGTTTAACCTGACAGCTACAGGGGGAGGGGTGGGAAACATGACAGCTACAGGGGGTGGGGTGGGTGGGGTGGGTGGGTGTGTTTAACTTGACAGCTACAGGGGGAGGGGTGGGTGGGTGTGTTTAACCTGACAGCTACAGGGGGAGGGGTGGGAAACATGACAGCTACAAGGGTGGGGTGGGTGGGTGTGTTTAACTTGACAGCTACAGGGGGAGGGGTGGGTGGGTGTGTTTAACCTGACAGCTACAGGGGGTGGGGTGGGAAACATGACCGCTACAGGGGGAGGGGTGGGTGGGTGTGTTTAACCTGACAGCTACAGGGGGAGGGGTGGGTGGGTGTGTTTAACCTCAATGCTACAGGGGGAGGGGTGGGTGGGTGTGTTTAACCTGACAGCTACAGGGGGAGGGATGGGTGGGTGTGTTTAACATGACAGCTACAGGGGGAGGGGTGGGTGGGTGTGTTTAACTTGACAGCTACAGGGGGAGGGGTGGGTGGGTGTGTTTAACATGACAGCTACAGGGGGAGGGGTGGGTGGGTGTGTTTAACCTGACAGCTACAGGGGGAGGGGTGGGTGGGTGTGTTTAACCTGACAGCTACAGGGGGTGGGGTGGGAAACATGACAGCTACAGGGGGAGGGGTGGGTGGGTGTGTTTAACCTGACAGCTACAGGGGGTGGGGTGGGTGGGTGTGTTTAACCTGACAGCTACAGGGGGAGGGGTGGGTGGGTGTGTTTAACCTGACAGCTACAGGGGGTGGGGTGGGAAACATGACAGCTCCAGGGAGAGGGGTGGGTGGGTGTGTTTAACCTGACAGCTACAGGGGGAGGGGTGGGTGGGTGTGTTTAACCTGACAGCTACAGGGGGTGGGGTGGGAAACATGACCGCTACAGGGGGAGGGGTGGGTGGGTGTGTTTAACCTGACAGCTACAGGGGGAGGGGTGGGTGTGTGTGTTTAACCTGACAGCTACAGGGGGAGGGGTGGGTGGGTGTGTTTAACCTGACAGCTACAGGGGGTGGGGTGGGAAACATGACAGCTACAGGGGGAGGGGTGGGTGGGTGTGTTTAACCTGACAGCTACAGGGGGAGGGGTGGGTGGGTGTGTTTAACCTGACAGCTACAGGGGTCGGGGTGGGAAACATGACAGCTACAGGGGGAGGGGTGGGTGGGTGTGTTTAACCTGACAGCTACAGGGGGTGGGGTGGGTGGGTGTGTTTAACCTGACAGCTACAGGGGGAGGGGTGGGTGGGTGTGTTTAACCTGACAGCTACAGGGGGAGGGGTGGGTGTGTGTGTTTAACCTGACAGCTACAGGGGGAGGGGTGGGTGTGTGTGTTTAACCTGACAGCTACAGGGGGAGGGGTGGGTGGGTGTGTTTAACCTGACAGCTACAGGGGGTGGGGTGGGAAACATGACCGCTACAGGGGGAGGGGTGGGTGGGTGTGTTTAACCTGACAGCTACAGGGGGAGGGGTGGGTGTGTGTGTTTAACCTGACAGCTACAGGGGGAGGGGTGGGTGGGTGTGTTTAACCTGACAGCTACAGGGGGTGGGGTGGGAAACATGACAGCTACAGGGGGAGGGGTGGGTGGGTGTGTTTTACCTGACAGCTACAGGGGGAGGGGTGGGTGGGTGTGTTTAACCTGACAGCTACAGGGGTCGGGGTGGGAAACATGACAGCTACAGGGGGAGGGGTGGGTGGGTGTGTTTAACCTGACAGCTACAGGGGGTGGGGTGGGTGGGTGTGTTTAACCTGACAGCTACAGGGGGAGGGGTGGGTGGGTGTGTTTAACCTGACAGCTACAGGGGGAGGGGTGGGTGTGTGTGTTTAACCTGACAGCTACAGGGGGAGGGGTGGGTGTGTGTGTTTAACCTGACAGCTACAGGGGGAGGGGTGGGTGGGTGTGTTTAACCTGACAGCTACAGGGGGTGGGGTGGGAAACATGACCGCTACAGGGGGAGGGGTGGGTGGGTGTGTTTAACCTGACAGCTACAGGGGGTGGGGTGGGAAACATGACAGCTACAGGGAGAGGGATGGGTGGGTGTGTTTAACATGACAGTTACAGGGAGGGGGTGGGTGGGTCGGTGGGTGGGTGGGTGGGTTTAACATGACAGCTACAGGGGGAGGGTTGGGTGGGTGGGTTTAACATGACAGCTGCAGGGGGAGGAGTGGGTGGGTGAGTTTATGACAGCTACAGGGAGAGGAGTGGGTGGGTGAGTTTAACATGACAGCTACAAGGGGAGGGGTGGGAAACATGACAGCTGCAGGGGGAGGGGTGGGTGGGCGTTAACACAACCTGACGACCTGATCCATGCGGGTGACAATAATTGTAATTGTTTAACAGATGGCATACCTAACACATCAATGACTAAGTATTTCATTCGTACTTCTATTCACAAATGCAAATTTGTCAGTTTTAGCATTGTGTCATTAAAATCACTTCTCAAAATGAAAGATTTCTTAATTTTTCACTCATCATATTTCAGAATCATTTTGGGATTTTTATATGAATATAATAATATTTCGAATAAAATCACATCCACAAACCTTCAAATTGACATCAATGACCTTGTCGAAATTTTTCTCATCCATTTTCATGAGGAAGTTGTCTCGTGTTATTCCTGCAGAGTTTACAGCCACAGATGGCAGCACCGAAAATTGGCTTTTAATTTGTGCCATCATGGCGTTAATATCGGTGGAGGAGGCGATGTCGGCTGTGTATGCCTGGTGCTTCTGGCCTGGCGGAGATAGAAACATTACAGAATTATAAATTGCTTTTGTAGACAATCAAATGCCACAGAATCACTTGCAGATTTGGGTGTTTTACAGATGGGTGTTTGTTGCTGATAGAATGTTTTACTGATAAGGTGTCATTCTGACAAAATGTTTTAATGATAAGGTGTCATTCTGACAAAATGTTTTACTGATAAGGTGTCATTCTGACAAAATGTTTTACTGATAAGGTGTCATTCTAACAAAATGTTTTACTGATGAGCATTTATTACCAATGGCTGAAAACCAAAACTAAAATTTCAAATTTCAAATACTTGGACCATCAGGCTAGAATACTTACTGCCTTGTGGGAGTCCTGACACTGTTGCCTCAGCATTGGACTTGTCGATGTCCACCACTGCGAGTATAGCGCCCTCTCGGGCAAACACCTGACATATTGTTTTACCTATGCCACTGCCTCCTCCTGTAACCATGGTAACAAAGAAACATCTGACTAAATTTGATGTTACAACCCTATATTGATTTAGAAAACTGAAACAGTTGAATTTTTGACAGATGGAAATTGATGTAACCCATAGCAACCAGAGAACATTATAGTACAAAAGGAGAAACTATATTATAAGAGTCATTTCTGTTGCATGCTGCTAGGGTTGTTCTCGACCACGGTGCTTTCAATTAGGAGATCAACATGCTGTGTTTTCAATGTAGAGCTATTTTACCTGTAGATTTAACCCCGCTAAATTGAATTTGAAACCAAACACCCAGCGTGAGGTTTCAAATGTTTAATTTAGCATAGTTAAATCTACAGGTAACCTAGCTCTACATTGAAAACACAGTATGTTTTTCTCCATTCTACCATGACTAAACATAACGCGAACTCTTTGGTGTTAGCAAATATATAGAGTGGAGCGGGATTGGTTGAGTCCAGTATTTTGAGTGGGTTATCAATCTGAATTACGGAATCACCAACAACAGCCTGTAAACAAAATATGGCGCTGTATATGCTCAAGCAGTTTGTCTACACTGTAATACTTCTCCCGAACATATCACAGGCATTGAAAGCATATAAGCACGGTAACTTGGTCAGCTAGCATGAGGTGGGCATCCCTAAAGAAAACAAAGCAAGCATTGCAAGGCTTTCGTTCTACACCGAACGTCACCATTATGACATCATATCACTCATTGTCACGCAAAAGATTGACAAGTTTGTTTTTTGCAAGACAGAAGAAAACTATCATAAAACATGTCCTTCACTCAGATCCTGTGAAAAACTAGAGTGGTAAAATGCAAAACTTACACCGTAGTACATTTAACATTGCCTGATGTAAATGTATGTAAGGTCGAAAGATATAATGAGTGTACCCTGGTCAAGAACTACCCATCACTATCACTTCCTGTTTTTTGTAGTTTTTTTACACTGAAATAAGTTTTCAAAGTGCTCAGTGACATTTAACTGTTTTGGGTTTCAAGTTTGCAACACAGTTTGATAACATTATCTTGACGGAAAGACCTGAAATCCGACGCTACTTGACAATGAGTGTCATTCCCAATTCGATCGAATCAGGTTGAGGTCAATGACAGCCAATGTCATTTGACACGACATACAGGTGACACCCATTGCCGACAACACAGCACAAGTTTTCACCGACAAATAGACAATAATGTTGGAAGTTTACATCGCTAATAATGCATAATATTTAATAGGTATGAGGTAAACAAGTTTAGAATAAATATATAACTGAAATGTCCTAAAATTTCAAGATACCCGTCACGATAGCTAATCTTCCTGCAAGTACTCCCGACGCCATGCTGCTTGTTATTTATAGCCACAGGAAGTTCACGTACGCAACTTATTTTTAGATTTGGGGATTTCGATCTTTTCTATTTCTATAATAATATTGACCAATCAGGAAACGTGTTACAGATAAAGAATCCCGTGCGGTCCTATAAGAATTTCTGTTGCATTAGTGTTTGGTCATGAATTGCACATGGTGATCGTTTCATCATGAGTTTTACAGTTGTTCTGAATTCTTGTGTTGCTGGCGTTCTCAAATCCTTCACAGTTGATGCCCGTATTTTAACGAAGAGATCATGCATCCGAAAAAGTCTTAACAAGGTTGTAACCGCTAGATTCTGCACCAGTATCGGTTATCCGCAGTTGACATCCAGAGATGACGATTCCGAATCCGACTCGGAGAATGAAGTTGGAGAGACAAGATCGCTCACAAATAAATTTTTGGTAACTCTTTCTTTTGAAGTATTCTCAATTACAACAATGTATAGATGTATAAACCACGGAAAGTGTGTCTGGAGCAGTTCACTATGGGCACGACTGAGCAGACACGTGTGCACCGGTACTCTCAGGCTAGCCAGACGATCTCATGAATGACATTGACAAACATGCTTCAATGTCGGTATAATGTCGTATTTTTATGCTTGTATTTCTGTCTTCACGTCAGTTCTTGTTTAGTGAAATACAAAATATCAACACTGTAACACACAATATTCTGTAGATGATCTGAACAGTTGGCTTTGCTACAAAAGGCCAGGAAACTGAAGGTCAAAGTTCAAAATTCTGAATTCATTTATAAGAAATAAATATAGATCTAATCACAGATTTTGTAAAACTTGTGTTTATAGAACTTGCATCTGTTTAATCAGAAATTGGCCCTGTTCGCATTCCAAGCTAGAATACATATTCTGAACATCTGCTTGTAAACTGTAAGTTACATATGCTAAATGGATCAGGTGGCCATATGTTTGGTGACCATGGCAACTGGATGATTGCATGTTATTTTACGCTGATTGTAGGATATCAATCACTCGTTTGTCTGGTCCTGAATTTGGCCCGTAATGATTGCTTGAATAACCTGTTATGGTCTGATTAGAACTGCAAACAGTTGTTGTGCAAACTGATAGTTGTTATCAAAATGTTATATTTGTATTAATAATCGGAGCACCTTTAGAATACAGTACCACAACTTCTCGTGAGGACGATCTCTGCCGTAGGTCACATGTCACAAGACAAGCAAACAGTTTTAGTGAGAATCCGTCGGACGCGAACCCGCGACCTTCGGATTGTTAGCCTGACAGCTAACCGACTGAGCTACGTCCACACTGTTAAACTTAGTGCAAATTTACCTAGTCATTCCTATGATGTTACGGAACTGAACGAAAGGGTCGAATAGGTGACGAACACTTACGAAAGTTAGGGGTAGGCATGGTGTCTCGTGACTTTAGTCTACGGACACTTACGAATGATCCCGATGCCATTTGGCACACTCGTCCCATTCCGTAATCTACAAGATACTGGGTGGTGATCAGGAATGAGCCGATATGCCGCGGACTGAAAACGGCTCCAGGCGTCAGACGTCAGACGTCGAACTCGCGAGTGCGCATGAATGATATGGTATTTAATAATTCGTCGGGTGATTTTTGTGACAGAAAAGTGTGGTGGGGAACACTGTAAGGATGATTTGGATAATAGTAAGGAACGATGGAGGAATAAGCATGACTAGTGACGACACAACGGTGAGTTCGCTTTTGAATCTGTACTGAAAAATGTAGCCGGTGAAAGTGGCTTGTGTGAATGTTCCAGGACAGTTTCCAGTAGCCAAAATATTCGACACAAAACCATTTCATCCTTTTTACTCGACGTTTTTGTGGGAAGAATATAAGGAGTCGCTATATAATCTATAATAGCCACTAAACGAGTACCTCGGCCCCTAACCCTAATGATCGTAAAGGGGTGATTGATCGTAAAGAGGTTAAGGGTTAATGATCACGTGTTTGAAAAGTTTGTGGTACTGTATTCTAAAGGTAGGCCTAATAATCATGTGCCATTATGTTTGGGTACAGTTTATTTTAATATTTTCTCAATGTTATGTATTCACTATTAAATATGTAAAAAATACACTGTTTACATTATTATGTTTGCACACATCTTTCATCATGTTCATATGTGTCAATCTCATTCAAATAAATCCATGGAAGACAGGAAATACTGCAATGAATGTCATTCAGGATATACTGTGGCATGACATTCAAATTCAGCTTGGACAGTTGTACCTTACACTGTAGATGTATTAATTATTTTGATATCATGAAATGGTTAATCGACACGAAACAGTTTCATCATGTTCAGTTAGGCAAGTAAACAGTTTAAGATTGTTCAAACTGTGACATCCCTATCCAGAATGATTATTTACCGGCTGCCATCACGATCTCTAGCCCATTTTTATTTTGTGCTGTCAACTCATTCTTTCTTCTTTTAAATGTGCCTCAACTAGTTTTAAATCTAATCTGTTATATGCTAGTTATCGTACTGTCCTTCGATGACAGGTTTTTATAAAGTTTAAATATATGTATTATAAATGTCTATCTTCTCGTCACGATATCGCTGAAATATTAACTCACTCACACACAGTACTGGACCACAATTATGTTTCTAGGTTTGTCAGCACCATACACGTGCTCTTTGGTTTCACCGAAGTGGTAAACGTCTAAGACCTGCATAACTTCGGGCTTTCCTCCCACATTAAGCTGACACAACGTGATATAACTGGAATACTGTTAAAAGCAGCGTTAAACACAACTCACTCACTCAAAGGACTGGAATATTGCTGAATGTGGCATCAAACAACAAACAAACAAATTGTTGTTTGGAAATCTGCTCATTGAATCAATCTTGAAGGTCTTGCGATTAAGTCTTGATCCATCTGTATGATCTTCCCGATTCAAGGGTCCAGGGTGGAAACTGAACTTTTATAGTCAGTTAATGTCCTTGGATCGGGAAGATGGTCTTGATCAAAAGACCATTTGCCACTGTATCATTGTTTTCAGATTGTAGGTCTCGGCAACCCAGAGATGCAGTCAAGTCGCTACAGTGTGGGGATGCAGTTTGTGGACCTTCTGGCCAAAAGGATGCGACTGAGGTGGACCGCACACATGTTCAACAAGACGGGTGGATTCACTGCGTCGGCGCACATCGGCAACTACACCGAGTTACACCTTCTCAAACCACGGTTGCCTGTGAATATCAACGGGGCAAGCGTCATCAAATCAAGTGAGTTCACGACTACAGAAGACTCAAGTTACCGTGGTTACTAGTGCATAGGTTGATATGTTTTGCTATGGATTCTTTCTAGCCAGGAGGTTAGGTTGTTATGTAAGTTTTTGCTGCCGTCCATTGTTTGTGGGACCGCCTCCGTGGTCTAATGGTAGAGCGGAATATTTGGGGTTCAATCCCCGACCGCGTCATACCCAAAGACGTTAAAAGATGGTACTTGTTGTTACCCTGTCTGGCACTCAGCATTAACAGGCTAAAACAGGGACTGGTCGGCTCGGAGTCAGTATACTGTGTCTGAGTGGGGTATTCATGTTAAACTGCGGCATGGTATCTTAGTGAGCTAGCACTATAAATCGGCATCAGTCCGGACTAGTACAAGCAGCCACACACACATGCATGCACATCGCTACATAAGTGCAATAATCTTGGATGCGACGTTAAACCCCATTTCACCTGACATTGTTCGTGGTCCTGTCATACATCGGAAAGTGAGTTTTGTTGGAAATCATCAATTGATTCTGTAACCATGTTAATAGCCATTAAAAAATTAAGATTTGAGACCTCAGGCTGATCATGCTGTTGGTTTCAAATGAAGTTTTTGGTCATTGAATATTCCATTTTCTTTCAACTCGACCCATACAAGATCGCGTCAGGTAGCGTGTATAATTAAGTAATCAGTGTCAAGACTTCTAAATTCTCAGAACAAATGAGCAAAGTGTTTGGATTAGCATATTTGATTTCTGTGCCTTGAAAAAATCTAGAACATCCATTTCCTAATGTAGATATTTAAGGCCCTGACATTATTTTGTTATTGTGGATATTATTTACTCCCGGCCATTTCTGAGCGCCATGGCCCCTCCATCCATCAAGGAATGTTTGTACTATGTTTGATCTCTGGCACACGAATGTGAGGACTTCTGTGCTAGGTTAGTGATAACGAGGATGGAGACGTCGACATCACTCCCAAATGAACCTATGGTCCAGGGAATATTTGGCATCAGAGATTGGAAATTAGCGCCATTCTCCTGAAGCAAGGGAGTTAACTGACCATAAAAGTCCTGTTCCCACTCTTGCCGAACTAGGCTGGAATTATGGAGTTATGCTTTATCTGGACGCATAGTCTACGCATAGTCCAATCAAAATTGTGTAGCGAAATCGACATTCAGTTTGTAAACTGACGTGCAGATTGTGGTTGATTCAGGATTTGCAAAGTATGTTTACCGACAGATATTTTCCAAATCTTGTCATGTTTTTAATCAAGGAATGCACATGTTTTGATGCACTTCGTGAAGTAGAACCCATTTTATTAGAATATAGATCTTCATTATCGATCAGATCCTCTTCACTGGGCGATGCACATTTTATATTAAGAAAATGCAAGTGATATGAGAGGTGGGATCTGATTGGTCAAAAGGAATGACTTAGGAGGGTGTTAACTTGGAATAGCCACTGGTTGCGCTACGATCAAGTCCAGGAATTCCAGCCTAGTTCGTCAAGGGTGGAAACTGGACTTTTACAGTCAGTTAACTCCCTTGCCTCAGGAAGATGTTAAACACTTGCTGATGTGTGTATGATCAACTTTCACAGTGTAGGAACTATTTGTTCTTCCAGCTCGTTTCTTTGATGTGAAAGCGGGGAATGTGTATTTGGTACACGCACTGCCTGATTTAGCCCAAGGGGAGTTCGAAATCTCCAAAGTGGACAGCACCAGGTAAGAGAGCGGTCAGTTGGAGGGAGATGGTCAATACAATCATATAACACAAGGGTCAGGAGGCACTTTGCACAATTTGATGACTAGTATTATTTGTCAGTAATTTTGAAGAGCCATTATAGTATTAGTGGTGTGTGTGTGTATGCATGTGTGTGTGTGTGCATGTGTGTGTGTGCATGTGTGTGCATGTGTTTGCACTCACTCACTCACTCACTCACTCACTCACTCATTCATATCCAAGACATTACTTCCTCAACATGCTCAACAAGTCTGTGTGTTTACAGACCCGTGAAGACCTGGGGTAAAATAGGTCTTCAGCAACCCATGCTTGCCATAAAGGGCGACTATGCTTGTCGTAAGAGGTGACTAACGAGATCGGGTGGTCAGGCTCGCTGACTTGGTTGATGCACGTCATAGTATCCCAATTGCGTGGATTGATGCTCATCATGTCAATCACTGGGTTGTCTGGCCCAGACTCATTTATTTACAGACAGCTGTCATATACCCCGGTAGCTGGAATATTGCTGAGTGCATCATTAAACAACAAACAAACAAACAAAACATCTGGAAGACAGCATGTCGCAATTCAAGCACAACCTTGTGAGGTTCCACAGTTGAATGTTTAGATGGCAGACTGGGATATAACTGAAATACTGTACAAAGGGGAGGTAACTCACTCATACCTTGGTCCCACGGTTCGTCAGGAGAAAGGCTGGTTGAGTCAGTGGTTGGTATAGTGGAATGTGTTGATGTTTCAGCTACAGTGGTGTGGCGTCCACGGTGGAGACCCTCAATTCAGATGTAAGTATTGTAATGAAGTTTTTTAAATCAGGAATTATTTTGCTCATGTAACACATGTGTCAGGATGTTAAAAAAATAATAGATAGTGATAATCATTCGGGCAGGCTATCGATATAGATTATAGAGATCGATAATCGCTTACTAAATATCAATCAGTTATTGATAAATATCGGCGAAGTAACTTTAAGTAAAAAAATATGCAGATATAACAAAAACAGTTGCTTTCCGTCTTTGACAATTGACATATCAACAAAAACATGACTGTCTTGGTAATTCTCCAATTGATTTCATCACAATAGTTTATGTAAGTTTTGTAGTGCAGGGGAGATAACTACATCAGAGAAAAATCCCTTCTATGTTTCGGCTGTTTTGTCAATCAATTTTGAAGGGAAACATAATTAATTAAGGAATTTCTGTGTAGATTTTAGTTCAAATGATACAAATAATAACGAACCTAGTTGTACTTATTATTACGGAACACAGAAAAGAAATGGCAATACATATTGTTTGAAAAGCCGGTATCCATGGTAGTCCTAGAGGAGGTGCAACATGAAATCACCTCACTCACTCTGTCCTTTATTTACCGCCTCCGTGGCCTAGTGGTAGAGTGTCCGCCTGGAGAGCGGAAGGTCCAGGGTTAGATCCCGACCGCGTCATAACAAAAGACTTTAAAAGATGGTACTTCTTGTTACCCTGTCTGGCGCTTGGTATTAAGGGGCTAAAACAAGAACTGGTCGGCTCGAGGTCAGTATACTGTGTCTGAGTGGGGTATTCATGTTAAACTGCGGCATGGTATCTCATTGTGCTGGCACTATAAATCGGCATCAGTCCGGACTAGTACAAGCAGCCACACACACACACGTACATGCACGTCGCTATATAAGTGCAATAATCTTGGACGCGACGTTAAACCCCATTTCACCTCACCTCACCTGTCCTTTATTTGTTTTTGTTTTTGTTTTTTCATGGTAATCTTCCCCTTGTGTTGTGTTTCAGGAAATGACGAGTCTTGCTATCGGAATAGACGGTCCAGCAGAAGATGAGGAACCGGATGACTATGTGTGGGATGATTTCACAAATGATGAATATGGCAACATTGACAATGCCATCAAGGATGCCATGGAAACGCTGATAACACACATTGAAGAGAAACATGACATTGAGCTGGACATTAGGGTATCTCGGCCCTTGCATGTCAAAGACGAAGGCCTTTCCAAATACATGACAAAAATGAAGAAACTGTCCAAGACGAAATATTCCAAGGATTATCGGAGAGGTCATCGGAATGAGAGAGATTCTCGGTATGAGAGAGATTCCCGGAATGAGAGATATTCTTGGAATGAGAGAGATTCTCGGAATGAGAGAGATTCTTGGAATGAGAAAGATTCTTGGAATGAGAAAGATTCTCGAAGATACTATTAATCATGTAAATAATGGCTGTGATTGTGATGGATTGTGCTTCAGACAAGCCTCCGTATGCAGTACATTTGTTCTGGATACAATATTTTACTTAGTTGTTATTCTGTTACCATGGTTACTCAGACCTTTATTGCCAAATCTGTTATTGCCAGTGCCACAGATTTGAATTTGTTCTCAGTTGTATCATTATTGGCTGTACAACCATTACAGTCGGCACTTTTACTCTGATCGGCCTTTGACAACACTATTCGGAAATATCTATCTAACTAAAAATCCACACAGAGCACAAGTATTCCTTTTCGATACTACACCCTTTTCAGGTTAAATGTCATGGCGCTTAGAAATGACAGGGTGTATGAAATAACCTCATCATATGTAGTACTGGCTTTATTATTTTCCATTCAGAATTGGCTGTTCATGTTCATTTTCGAGATCAGAAAATGCTGTTCTGAATGATTTGTTCGCTCGTACAGAGAAATTAGACTTCTTGACACTGATCAGCTGATTAAAAGGTTGACCTGGGACAACCCCACATGGAAACTTTGTCTGATCATCACACAGAGAGGTATTGTGTTGGATTCATTTGGAGTAAAAGATGTGACTTTAATGAGATTGGTGTGGTGCATCTGTTGCCAGCTTTTCTCATTAGCTATCGCTGCATCCCATTACAGGTCATGTCAGAACTACCAAAGGCCTTTCATCTGGCCAATCAGTGCATCGCTTATGGCATCGCAAGAGAGAAAATCTGATTGTGGATTCTAATCATGCGGCCATGAAATGGTTAATACAGGGTATTCCGAATGACAGTTATTGGAAGTACGACTCATTCTGTCAAAATCATCGTCAGTCTCCCTATAAACATTCATAGCCCATGGAAAGTACTGCCATACAATCTCTGCCTTCTATTAGATTTTCCAGAATTTTCTTGTATTCAGTTTTCAAATTTTATATCAAGAATTTTGAGAATATTTTTCAAAGCCTAGTCTGGAAAGAAAGTCGCCATTTTAGAATTAGTGTCGTAAAACCCAAGAAAGCTGCTTTCTGATTGGCTAATGTTGACTTCCTGTTAGTCATGTCACTGGTTGATCAAAGTTTGCGAAGGGTCATTCTGACGTGACCTGTAAAAGGATGGCCTCAGATCTTTGGTGTTGCGGTAGCAAACTATAATACAAACAAACTAAGCTTTCTCATCAGAAGTTTGTGTTTTCCTTTCATTTTCTGATGGGAAGAAAATACATCGTCATCCATGATGACAGAATTAGACACAAAGAGAACTCTTCCATAAAAAAGAAAATTATTATTATAAAAACTACTACAAAAACCATATTTCTTATTTAACAAAACCAAAATGTTTTGATTGCTCTGAAAATAATTCTTCACACGAAATGACCTTAGACTTGTTTCCAGTTTTCTTGTAGCCAAATAATGGCATTCTTGTCACATTTGAAGAAATTTGAAACTGGAAGGGTACCGGTATGTTGAGAAGGGCAGTCATTCTTAATCTTGATAAGTTGGCTGCCGTAAAATTTGATGCTAGTTTAAGATATTGTATCTTGATATGATGTGTAAAAATGTCTTCGATAAATATTTTGCTTTTACCAATCTATTAACTGAGAAAACTTCATGCAGGATTGTGAGTGAGTAATATTATCACATTATTTAATATGTTTGCCATGTTTCCACACTAAGATAACAATAATAATCTTTGAAAACTTAATGCTGTGATTGGTATTGTGTGCGTATATTGGAGAGAAGGGAGGAGGCTTTGGGGATGCCAGATTTTTGCTTACAGTTGACAAAATGTGTTCATTATCTGTAAGATTACTGAGGGGAATAGGTGGCCCAGAGTTACATCCCTTTGGCATGCCAGGAACCTATCATCGTTGGTTAAAATCTCAGATTTGCACTGTTTATGTTCCTAGGTTTGTCAGCACCATACCCGTGAGTGGTAAGCATCTAACATCTGCATTGCTTTGGCTTTCACCACAGCAAGCTTACACGCATCTTCCCAAGGCACGGACGTTAAGTGACTATGAAAGTCCAGTTTCCCCCTTGCTAGTAATTCCAGACCAGTTCAGCAAGGATGGAAACTGGACTTTTATAATCACTTTAACCTAGCCTTGGGAAGATGGCTGACACGCTGTTTGAAAGATTGTTTAGAGCAGTGTCTTGTATGTACTTCCTATTCTTTTATATGTTGAAACGGGTATTAAATATTATGACAAAATTAGTTAGTATGTGAATCTAGTTAGATTTTATCATGTTCAGTTTTGGACAACCTAGTCAAAACTTGAAATATGCCCAGCATCAAAAGTTAAGCACCATCCAATTTTGATTAAACAGACATTACAGTGTATTAGTATTATAGATTCAGGTCTTGGTGTTTTTGCAAATACAAATTTGTGTTTTGTGTCTGTCCCAAATAACCTAAACCTGATTATTGCAGAATGCTCCAACAGGTGTAATCATGAACATAACTTGAGGCACTCGTTATGGGGTTCTCTGGTCACTAATCAAGCGGGGGCACGGGTGTCCAGTCGTCTAAGGTGCCGCGATTCGCTGTGCAGAGTTGCGTCCCTTGGGCACGCCAGAAACCTATGATTGTGGGTTTGAATCCCGGTTCGCCCTGATTATGTTTCTAGGTTTGTCAGCACCATACCCGTGCTCATGGGTTTCACCGAAGTGGTAAACGTCTAAGACCTGCATAACTTGGGGCTTTCCTCCCACAATCAGCAGACACGCCATAATATAACTGGAATACTGTTATAAGCGGCGTTAAACCCAACTCACTCACTCACACTTGATCAATGGCTGCCGAAGTGTCAGGACAGATCCTGGTACATATTCTTCAGTTGTCTTGAGACAATGCCTTGTACATAGGAAGTGTGTAGTTTGATAGTGTTATTGATGAAGGGTATATTTGACATGTTCAGGTCTGTCTTAGAAACAAATTATCTTCTGGGACAAGCGGAACAGAAATGATTTATTGTGATATCAATATGTAGAACATTTTTTCATCAATAAATTACAAACCAAACTTGATCTTCAGACTTTTATTTCTGTGTTTATTACATCGTAAGTGATGCCATGGTTTACACTAGAAAAACATCTGTGTAATATGAACTAATACTTCTGCTTTATTGACTAGACAACATGGACGATGGTCAAACACATGTCAAACACATGCTCCTCAAATAAGGGAGGATTTAAGAAGAATCTACTGGCCATCATACTGATGAGGATTCTGGTTCAGACTTGGTCCCCAGCAACCTATGCTGGTCATTGAGACGACCAGATGAATTGGGTGGTAAGGCTCAGGGTCATTGTACCAGAGCGGTGTGAATCATTCTGTCAAATACCTAGAATATTGCTGAATGTCAAACCAAATCACACATGGAATTGGGCGGTGAAGTCACTTCAATGTAAACTGTTAGCAGAACTCACCATGGTCACAGCACTGTAATGAGTGAGTGAGTGAGGGAGTGAGTTGGATTTAACACCACTTTTAACAGTATTCCAGTTATATCACAGCGTGTAATGTCTCCTTAATGTGAGAGGAAAGCCCAAAGTGATGCAGGTCTCAGACGTTTACCACTTTGGTGCAACCCACAAGCACAGGTATGGTGCTGACAAACCTAGAAACATAATTGGGGCGAACCAGGATTTGAACCCACAAACTTAGGTTTCTGGCATGCCCAAGGGACGTAACTCTGCACAGCGAATCGCGGCACCTAAGATGACTGGGCAACCCGTGCCCCCCAGCAATGTAATATCATCCATAGAAAATCACTGTTTGTTAAAAATTGAGGGAACTATTCATCCATTTGTTAATATGTTTTCTCACTAATATACAGGAATTATGCAAATTATTTTCTTTAAGAATAAGATGTTATCAATCTGTGGTAAAAACATTAATTACTATTTGTGGTATTTTAATATACTGATTTCCTACATGCATCTACAGTTAAGTATTAATCTGGTGAATTAGTGTTCTGAATGCACAGTGCCCAACTTTTTTTTTTTTCTAACAATTAAATTAGATTTTAAAATACCTATCAGATAAAACCTTTAATACCTTACATAGACCAGCAGAAGTGTGAATCTAAGCTTGTGAAGTAATCCGAGCTCTCTGGTTAACAAACTTTGGTTTTGTTTTGTTTGTTGTTTTACGCCGCACTCAGCAATATTCCAGCTATATGACGGCGGTCTGTAAATAATCGAGTCTGGTCCAGACAATCCAGTGATTGATATCATGAGCATCAATCCATGCAATTTGGATCGATGACATGCATCAACCAAGTCAGAGAGCCTGACCACCCGATCCCGTTAGTCGCCTCTTACGACAAGCATAGTCGCCTTTTACGGCAAACATGGGTTGCTGACCTATTCTACCCCGGAATCTTCACGGGTAACAAACTTTGAATTATGATGAATGTTGCATCACTAATGGCTTTGTTTTTAGTGGAAAACCAGGGTTTTGAATTCTTTGTATTAGAGTGCCAATGACATGATTAAAATAAGTTCCTGTTGCTTTAAGGGGACACTTAAAATTTGTTTCTAGTTTTTTCAAAATGCCTTCAGATTCTGTACATTTTCGAAGCCAATGACAGATGTTCTTTTAAGTAACAAACACCTAATGCAACGTATAATATTAATTAAATTAATGAAGTGATTCAGGACTTGAATTCCAATGTCATCAGTTACCAATCTCAATGAAAAGGAAGAAGACCCGTGAAGATTGGGGTAGAATGGGTCTTCAGCAACCCAAGTTTGCTGTAAGAGGAGACTTTGCTTGTCGCAAGAGGCGACTAACGGGATCAAGTGGTCAGACTCGCTGACTTGATTGATGCACATCATCGAATCCCAATTGCATAGTTTGATGCTCATGATATCAATCACTGGATTGTCTGGTCCAGACTCGATTATTTACAGACCGCCATCATATAGCTGGAATATTGCTGAGTGCGGCGTTAAACAACAAACAAACGAAAAGGTAGGAGGCTTTAATTGAAATTAGTTAATATCTAGTTCATGGTGAAATGAGTTTGAAGATGGATCAAAGTATTCAAAAGACACACTTAGTTCCAAATGGCACACCTAAACATCTTTGTAAGCGCCCTGGGGCACACTCGAAATGGAATATGTCTTTCCCTGAAGAGTGACAAAGTGATTCTTTTCACTCAAGTTTTCATTCACCAATTGTTAAACCTGCTAAATGGATGTGTACTTCTTGTCAATATCAGCTTGCCGTGAAAGGTGTTGACTGACTATTTCAAGTTTCACATTCAGTTACTTTTGTGGGAAAGAAATATTTGTGAAAATGAGAAGAGAAACATGGACAACTGGCTCTCAAGCATGGCTGACATTGGGAGGATTACCTAGGATTATTTATTAACACTTACATTATGGTGAAAATGGCTACATCGAAAAATGAAATATACCAACTGAGCACAGTCCCCTGACTGGTACCCTTTTACAATGACATCTATTTCGGCTATTTGTATCTGTAGTAAAGGATTCCTGGTGTTCAGGTGGGATGATCTTCACTGCTTCATAAATAGCTGCTACCTGTAACAAAATAGATTTTATTCTTAATTATCTGTCTTATACAACTACATTGTATAAAAAATGTGCTGTTTTCATTCATGATAATTTTCTCAGCTCAGTATTTAGTGAAAAAAGAAATGATGTTCACCAATTTTGGCACCAAAGTTCAAGGCCTGATATAATAACCAAATTCTGGAAGAGTAGAATTTCAATTAGAACAGTTCACCTATACATCATCATATGAGGAGAGATTGATAGGTTCCAAGCCTGACATCGGAAGACTTGACTATAAGACATTAATATGATTTATTTTTCAACATTATACCCTTCTACATTGAGACACTTTTGGACAATGTTGAAGGGATTTCTCTTGGCTTGTCCTCTTGGCTGTCCAAAACGTTTTCCACAGCTGCTATGTCATGTTTGGGAACAGGTGGAAGTTTGACAGAGCCAGATAGGAAAATAAGGTTGGCGCTGAAGGAGTTCACAGCCACTCGTGGATAGTAGCCATGGGAATGACTAATTTGTGCACTGGCATATTGTCCTGGCAGAAGAGTACACCTCTTAGTTTCCTGCAGTTGCCTCAAAGGTGCAGCATTATATGCTCCGTTTATTGTGTGGCCTTTTAGAAGATAGTACACCATGATGACACCCTTGAACCATGACACCATGATGACAACACAAAGGCCATAACTTTCCATCTGATGCAACAGCCTTCGTCCTCTTTGGCAGTGGTTATGCCAAATGCTTCCAAACGTTTGAAATTGTGGTTTGGACTCAGGTTTCATCCATTGTTAAAAATCATTGCAAAAACCTTTCTGGTTCAGCTTCAAACAGAGCTAGATTATCAGGAGACATGCTTGGTGCGTTTTGGATCAGAGGTCGAAGGTTATAGCATCCAACAAGGTGATACTATCAGCTCCAGTTTCTGTAATAATGGAATGTACTGTCTCCTTGGAAATGCCTTTGAACTGGCAATATGACACTAAGTCATTTGCTGGTCAGTTGTCACTGTATCGTGGATTCTGTGGATCATTTCCGGTGTTGCTGACATGACAGGCCTTCCAGGACAGGGGTCACTGGACACTTCCATGCTTAAACTCTGCTGCCCACTCTGATGCTGTACACATGTCTTCACATGGCTTTTTTCTGCAAGTTATTGATCACTACAAGTTCCTTAATTTTTCCTTGATATACCTCTATGACATCATGTAATGTCCACAACAAAAGCTTTTTATTTATTTATTGCAAAGACTGACACAAGATCCACTTCACAAAGTTATCAGATGTCTGGAGGCAGTAACCCAGCAGCATGTTGCTAGTGGCATGATCGTGTCCAGGGCGACCCACAGCTTCTGGGTGGAATACACCACCACCAGTGTCTGTTGACCAGTATTGCTACATTAGATTCTTGATTCACAACAGCTACTACCATCGATGGATGTCTTGTGAGACTATGCATAACCAACAGATGGATCATTGTTTCATTGCATCTAGGGTTAATATTGAAGAGGGAATTGTCCTAAAATACATTTGGGTGGAGCAAGGGGAGATGGTGGAGCAAGGGGAGATGGTGGAGCAAGGGAGATGGTGGAGCAAGGGGAGATGATGGAGCAGGGGGAGATGGTGGAGCAAGGGGAGATGGTGGAGCAAGGGGAAATGGTGGAGCAAGGGCAGATGGTGGAGCAAGGGCAGATGGTGGAGCAAGGGCAGAAGGTGGAGCAAAGTAGAGGGTCGAGCAAAGGAGAGATGGTGGAGTAGATGGTGGAGCAAGGTCAGATGGTGGAGCAAGGGGAGATGGTGGAGCAAGGGAGATGGTGGAGCAAGGGGAGATGGTGGAGCAAGGGAGATGGTGGAGCAAGGGCAGAAGGTGGAGCAAGGGGAGATGATGGAGCAAGGGGAGATGGTGGAGCAAGGGGAGATGATGGAGCAAGGGAGATGGTGGAGCAAGGGGAGATGGTGGAGCAAGGGAGATGGTGGAGCAAGGGGAGATGGTGGAGCAAGGGGAGATGGTGGAGCAAGGGAGATGGTGGAGCAAGGGAGATGGTGGAGCAAGGGGAGATGGTGGAGCAAGGGGAGATGGTGGAGCAAGGGGAGATGGTGGAGCAAGGGCAGAAGGTGGAGCAAGGGGAGATGGTGGAGCAAAGGAGAGATGGTGGAGCAAGGGGAGATGGTGGAGCAAGGGGAGATGGTGGAGCAAGGGAGATGGTGGAGCAAGGGAGATGGTGGAGCAAGGGGAGATGGTGGAGCAAGGGAGATGGTGGAGCAAGGGAGATGGTGGAGCAAGGACAGATGGTGGAGAAAGGGGAGATGGTGGAGCAAGGGAGATGGTGGAGCAAGGGGAGATGGTGGAGCAAGGGAGATGGTGGAGCAAGGGAGATGGTGGAGCAAGGGAGATGGTGGAGCAAGGGGAGATGGTGGAGCAAGGGGAGATGGTTGAGCAAGGGGAGATGGTGGAGCAGGGAGATGGTGGAGCAAGGGGAGATGGTGGAGCAAGGGAGATGGTGGAGCAAGGGGAGATGGTGGAGCAAAGGAGAGGTGGTGGAGTAGATGATGGAGCAAGGTCAGATGGTGGAGCAAGGGGAGATGGTGGAGCAAAGGAGATGGTGGAGCAAAGGAGAGGTGGTGGAGTAGATGATGGAGCAAGGTCAGATGGTGGAGCAAGGGGAGATGGTGGAGCAAGGGGAGATGTGGAGCAAGGGAGATGGTTGAGCAAGGGGAAAGGTTGAGCAAGGGAGATGGTGGAGCAAGGACAGATGGTGGAGCAAGGGCAGAAGGTGGAGCAAGGGGAGATGGTGGAGCAAGGGCAGAAGGTGGAGAAAGGGCAGATGGTGGAGCAAGGGGAGAAGGTGGAGCAAGGGCAGAAGGTGGAGCAAGGGGGATAAGGACAGATGATGGAGCAAGGGAAGATAGTAGAGCACAGACAGATGGTGGAGCAAGGGAAGATGGTGGAGCAAGGACAGATGGTGGAGCAAGGACAGATGGTGTGGCAATCGGAGATGGTGGAGCAAGGGCAGAAGGTGGAGCAAGGGGGACAAGGACAGATGATGGAGCAAGGGGAGATAGTAGAGCATGGACAGATGGTGGAGCAAGGGCAGAAGGTGGAGCAAGGGAGATGGTGGAGCAAGGGGAGATGGTGGAGCAAGGGGAGATGGTTGAGCAAGGGCAGAAGGTGGAGAAAGGGCAGATGGTGGAGCAAGGGGAGAAGGTGGAGCAAGGGCAGAAGGTGGAGCAAGGGGGATAAGGACAGATGATGGAGCAAGGGGAGATAGTAGAGCACAGACAGATGGTGGAGCAAGGGAAGATGGTGGAGCAAGGACAGATGGTGGAGCAAGGACAGATGGTGTGGCAATCGGAGATGGTGGAGCAAGGGCAGAAGGTGGAGCAAGGGGGACAAGGACAGATGATGGAGCAAGGGGAGATAGTAGAGCATGGACAGATGGTGGAGCAAGGGCAGAAGGTGGAGGAAGGGGGACAAGGACAGATGATGGAGCAAGGGGAGATAGTAGAGCATGGACAGATGGTGGAGCAAGGGCAGAAGGTGGAGGAAGGGGGACAAGGACAGATGATGGAGCAAGGGGAGATAGTAGAGCACGGACAGATGGCGGAGCAAGGGAAGATGGTGGAGCAAGGACAGATGGTGGAGCCATCAACCAACTCATTCCTTGTACATACGAATACATATACTTTGCATGTAGTCATTATTTATAACCAACAAAACAAACCACATCCTGGTATTAACAAAGACTTCAAGAAAAAGTGAATAAGAAAAGTGATCCGACTAATGAGCTTGAACGCTCAGATTACATCGCAAGAAAACGTACATAGATAAGTCTTTACATTGCAGAAACAGTAATATTTCTTCTGCAACACATCACAGATTTGCAGCCATCGACTCTAAATACTGCTTTAATATCAGGTAACAAAAGGTCCCTGCACAGGATTGGGTTCACTTGAGTGTCCTCAGTTATATACGGCCTAATGTCATTTCTTGATAAACATCTGTCACTACTACACAATATAGGCTGTATCAATGGTGATGGCGTAACTCAGTGTTTACAAACCCTTGAAACATTGATGATGCATCACATTCAGATGAGTGACAAGATATGTGACATATTCAAGACAGTGAAAAGATAAGAAGATGCTGTGACTAAGATGCAGGTTTTTTATTTCTCAAAAAAAGAAAGAAAAACACCTGTGCATTAATAAAATATACTTTCAATATCACACGATAAGTAGAATTTAAATATACACACAACAATAATACTAAAGATGAATTGACTATTAACAAAATCTGTCCAAGTTTAAAATCACTTTGATCCTAAATTTGTACAAAGATCAATATTTCTTTTTACACAGCTTAAATCAAATAAACAAATGTACAGATATGTTAAATCTGTAAACAAATAAGATACATAATTGTTATGTACATAAATATATTTGCCAATTAACTGGACGGAATTATATTTAGTTGCGCAAAATGTAAATGTTAAATTTCAAAGGTTTTAAGTTCATGATTTTGACTTCAAATTTAATTGTCATATTGACAGATATAAAAACCTATATCACAAATTTACATGGCTAATAACATAAAACTAATTCAATTTTTGATTCAATAAATTTAAAAAACATATCACATAACAATCCTAAAGATAATCAACAAAATCATGTGACCAATTCATTGAATTCACTTAATTTCAGGCTATATTGTTATTGGAATTATTTGATAATTGGACATCAACATAGGAAGTGAATGTGAAATGTGATTGACACAATGTTGTTAATAGCATGTCAATATCAGAAGTGAAGACTGTGTTTACAGTGAGCTGCATGATCAGAATGATGTATATTTCATCACAGATGTCACTGATTGGCAAGGCATGCAATGTGCTCAGTGTCATATACACAGCTTTAGTATACTTTACTGGAAAGTCTCTTGGATGTTGCGATTGGTCCAAGAGCGATTGGTGTCTTGGGTTTATCCAATGAATGAAGCTCTTGCATGACTACATGTTGTGTGGACATTGGTACCCGAGTGAGCAGCTGGTCAGCATAAAACATGGCCTGAAAAATAGAGTTTCAACTGTAACTTACACATTTATACAGAGAGTGAGTGTTGGGCTTAATGCCGCTTTGAACAGTATTCCAGTTATATCATAGCGTGTCAGCTTAATGTGGGAGGAAAGCTGAAAGTGACATAGGTCTCAGATGTTAACGACTTCGGTGAAACCCATGAGCATGGGTATGGTGCTGACAAACCTAGAAACAAAATCGGAGTGAACTGAGATTCAAACACATGATCCTAGGTTCCTGGTCTGCCCAAGATGCAACTCTGCACAACGAATTGTGACACCTTAGACGAATGGATCACCTGTGCCCTCTTTTATACAGTGCTTGAAGAGGGTCAGTTCACCCACAAGTGGGCAAACATAAAAAGAAAATGACCCCCAATGACTTTGATAAAATTCACACAATTTTCTGTTTGATGCAGCGTACAAACGAGTCTAATTTCCCAATTGAGATAGAGTTGACATGGTCTTCATCTTCATCTTCCCTCAAATTGACATCATGGTACAGATGCTGGTACTATTACCAAGCGAGTGTTGAGATGTCCTAGCCAGTTTTTGATCACTTGCTTCATAAAGGTAAATATGAAAACATACAAGTTTATTGATAACAACTTCTGGTTTATTGAATCTGGAACATTTCGATGTAGATTCTTACACTGCAGGTTGATCTACATCTTTACTCACCAACTTCTAGAATGCCAGTCAAACAGTTAGTAGATAAGAGAGAAAATGAGTTGTGTTTTACCCTGCTTTTTGCAATATTCGAGCAATATCACAGCGGGGGACACCGGAAATGGGCTATACACATTGTACCCGAATCAGGAATCGAACTCGGGCATTTGGCATGACAAGCGAACGCTTTAACCACTAGGCTTGCCTACCCTTTCGCCCCCAGTTTGATAAAGGAACTAGCATCTGTACCAAAACGTATTTCTTGCATTAGAATCTTGGTGCCTGTGATTTTGCAGCAGACACTATCATGATTTTGTCAACATGTAATAGGACATTATCTATATAATTACCAAATTTGAAAAATATCTCTAGGACAATTTGGATGACAATCAGTTAATGTCCTTGAAAATGAACAGATGAGCCCTGTGGTAAAATTGTTTATCACCTGTCAATCAAGCAACATGATTGACCAATCAGAAAGTCTGAAGCAATACAAAAAACGTCATTTTGTCTGACAACTTTCAACCTGTACGACTTATACCAAAGTGACAGATGCTTTAAACATATATATGACAATGTCACTCACATCAGTATCTTCGGAAATGTAACATTTTTCATTAGTAGAAGTATGAAGACTTTAAAAAAAATACCCATACATGTTGATGACTAATTTGTGTTTCCTTGTGTTTGGGTAGAGGTAAACTCCACTCTGGCGATAGGGTAATTAAGTCAAAGGGGGTATGTGGGGGTGTCTCAAAATAGGAGGAATTTATTTTTCTATCCAACATGATATTTTCATTATTTCAATACTGTCGGACTTCCTGTTCTCACCTTGGGGGCGCTGACAGTCTGGATGCCCACAGAGCGAGTGAGGACCTTCCTGAGGGTGCCGAGTCTGGTGGTGGCCGACAACACCCTCATCTTGTCCAGGTTGGTGGGGATGAGCTGCTTGGGGCGGGGGATGAGCCCCAGGTCACCCAGGCTGTAGTGAGGCAGTGTACCTCCGGTGTTTGAGATCGGGGACAACGGTAACTGACTGTAAGAGGATACAAACATTCTCTGTAGATGCCACAAAGCTGTAGAGGGACTGGATCACTGTGGATGACTGGGATTTGACATGTTCATGCTCTTGTTTGAATACGGGGACAAACGAGGAAAAAAAACAACCAACGATACAAGGAAATAGTCACTGGGGGCTAAGTCTGGGCTGTACAGTTAAATCACCCACCCTACAGCCCAGACTTAGCCCCCAGTGACTTTTTCCTGTTCTGGCAAATGAAATCTGCCCTACTTGGAAGATGCTTCCAGGATGATGAGGACATAAAGGCTGCCACAGAGGCGTGGTTAGAGGGCCAATCTGTGTATGTCTATAAAAGTGGTATTAAAAGCTTGAAGGACAAATGGAATAAGTGTATTGAGGTGAATGGAGATTATATTGAAAAATAAAAGTGCAAAAGATATTCTGCGACTTGGTCTTATATTGAAGTTGCAAAACTTATTGAACGCCCCTCATATGACAAATTATTATTATATACCAGAACTTACCCTCTCCTAATGCCCTTGCCACTGCCAGGAATTTTACTTGCACTCCTCTCCATCTCCTCGTACTGCTTGCCCAGTTCCCCGGGGGGTGGGCCGACGCCCACAGCTGCAGCACTGTTGAGGAGGATGAGCAGCTGCTCCAGCATCCGGTCCCGGCTCTCCATCTCATTCAGAGCATCTTCTTCATCTAGGTCCTCTTCTGCATCAGTTTTCTAGACATCAGGGAGGGAAATCAGATTTAATGTAATAATTTTGATACAACTGGCAAATTGAAACATATAGTATTAATAAGGGAAGCACAATGATTCAATAATATCAATCACTTGATTGTCTGGTCCAGACTCTATTTTTTACAGATCGCCATCATATAGCTGGAATATTGCTGAGTGCGGTATTAAACAACAAACAAACACACACAAAAATAAAAAAGATATCCTTGTACCATGTCCCACATTTCAAACTACAATCATAGCTGAAACAATTGGCTGATTTGACAATGGTAAGAGAGGGATTTTGAATCAAGACAATGACTTTTGAAAATACAGTGCGGGTGGGCGTTTTTTTGGCTTGTTCAAACTAGTATATAACCCAATAAACTTTTGTGTATCTGGGAAACAGCCCCTCTACATTAACAAGCATACAAACTCCTAATTGCTGCCATGACAATAAAAAAAAGTTGTGCCGTGAATCAGTGCGCATGTAAAGGGAAGTAACTGTGTGCAATATTGGATCGCATTGTTCTTAAGTATTAGGATTTTTTAATTTTTTTAAAAATGGAAATAAAAACGAAACGTGTGGCAGACTTTATGATGATGCGGGCAGTGCCTTAGAACCAAGACTAATTTTTTTTAGCCTTACATTTGAAATTTTATTTAGAACTGAAAGAATTGTAGATGCAGAGGTTTACTCAGTAGCACCTTCAAATCTGTAAACACATATCTATACCAGGACATTGTAT